CCCGGCCCCACGTCCCCCGCGCCCCCCGCACCGCCGCCCCGGGGCCCGAAGCGGAAACTTTACAGCGCCGTCCCCGGCCGCAAGTTCATCGCCGTGAAGGCGCACAGCCCGCAGGGCGAGGGCGAGATCCCACTGCACCGCGGAGAGGCCGTGAAGGGTGAGGGGCGCGGGGGCGGGGCCGGGGGCGGCGGCGCAGCTCACGGGTGTCACGCCGGGGCATTTCAGTGTCACGATGGGGGATGAGTCTCAGGGGTCTGTGTGGAAAGACCCCATCTCCCGGCAACGCTTCCTTGACTGTGGGGTTCCTGTGTCACTTTTGGGGCATCTTCTCTGGAATTCCTTGAAATGTGTGGGGCCTTTGCCATCGTGGGAGAGGGCTGTGGACTGTGGGTGTCTGTATGCCCTGCACGTCCCTGTTGTGGGGTCTGCCTGATTTGTACGGCACAAGTCTCTCCCTGCGTGTGGGATCCTGTCCTCCCCTGCTCTGTGGCCATGGGGCCTGAGGTAGCAGCAGCCCTGAGGATCAGACTCCTGGTAAATCATATGGCCCAGTCCGCTGGCTATCACACAGTGACCCTGAGCTCTTGGTAATGACTCCTGGGTGGGTAGAAGAACCAGAATAAGTAGAGGGACAGTGGTCACTGGGCAGAGTCAGGAGTGGCCCCTGCTTCTGCCTGCTGTCCTCCCCAAATGCGTCCATCTGCATGCCTGTCCCCCATATGCCCATCCTGTGCCGAGCCCATCTGTTTGTTCCTGTCTCCTGTGTGGATCCCAAAATCTCCCCAGGGGAAAAGCCAAGAGGGGAAGGGAAGGGAAGGGAAGGGGAGCAAGGGCGAAGGGCATGGGCAGAACTTGAGCCTGCAGTGTTGGGGAGGCTGGGGTCCCCAGTTCTGCCCTCCACTAATAGCCTGCCTGACTTCTGTCCCTCCAGTGCTCAGTATTGGGGAAGGCGGATTCTGGGAGGGGACCGTGAAGGGCCGCACAGGCTGGTTCCCTGCTGACTGTGTGGAAGAGGTGCAGATGCGACAGTATGACACCCGGCATGGTGAGTGACCCTAGAACCCTCAGCAGCTTCTGAGGGCTCCACCTCTGCAATTCCTCTTTGGTATCCTTGGTCAAAAATCTGGATGTTTAGAGAGAAAAGAAAGTGAACTCACACATCCAAAGTAGATTTAAACTTGTGTGCACAGTGCAGGTGTCGGTGTGTGCATACATGCTTAGGAACATGCATATGTCTAACCTCACACCGGACCACACCTCACATGCAGTAGCCATACCTGCAGCAGGCCCACAGGAGATACATGCTGGTTGACAATCACACACGTGACTCCCTGGCACTCTAACTGCACCTCTAGCACAGTCCTCACAGAAATGCCAGGTGTTTAGAGCTTGCGATTCATGCGTGGCTGGCAGACCATAAGGAGGTCAGTGTGAGAAAAGAGGCGTTTTTCCAAAGTGGACAGATTGTCCAAGTGGGAAGAGCAGGAGGTCTGGCCTAGCCAAAAGGAAATGAGGCCAGTTGGGCCCCAAGGGGTGGTCAGGGTACCCTAGGGCGGGGGTGGTCTGAGGGCAGCTGCTGGACATAGCCCCTTCCTTAGCCAGCTGGAGCGCTTGAAGGTGCAGGCCAGCTCCAGCATTGGACACGTGGTCTTCCAGGAAGGACTCCTCTGGAAGCTGGGGTCTGAGGGCTCCTGCTGGTAGAAAAGGGCTGGTCCTTTGGAGTCTGCAGAATGATCTGGTTGGTTCTTGGAATTAAATGCTTGCAATTGGGCCCTCAGGAGGCTTCAAACCTATGAGTGTCCCTTCTGTCCTGGAGAGCTGCGGAGTAAGTTGAAGGCCTCCTGAGTCACAGAGGTCCTTGGTGATGAGCCTGGACTGAGGAGCATGTGTTCTTCCATTTGCATGTCTTGGGTCTTGGGTCAGGGCTGCTCTGTTCCCTTCCCTGGGTTTTGGACTTCCTTGGAGCCCAACCCCTGGCAGTGACTCTTGCCCTGTGCTGACCTTGAGGGGCCTAGGCTGGCAAGAGCTCTGATACTCTGCTGTCCTCTGCCCCATTCTGCTGACTCCCCTGGTGGCTTGGGGCAGGCTCCTTTGTTACTGTGGACATAGATGGAATCAGGTCCAGGAAAAAATTGGTTTTGGAGGTTTGGGCCCTAGGCAGGAGAGGCGGGTATAGCAACCTGTTGAACAGGAGCCAGTCCCATGCTCCCCCACAGCCTGGTTTTGGAGCTGTGGATCCAGGGACATTTGGACTTCAGTCTGAGGCTGAGGAGGAGGGAGTCTCAGGCTAGAGCAGATGCTTGTTATGTTTGTCCCACGCCAGGCCTTTGACTGGCTTCACAGAGGTCTGGCTTGGGAGCTGAAGGGGAACAGGCAGCTGCTGGTTGCAGTGGGTGTACTGGGTGCTATGTGAGGAGGTTGTGTGAGTGAAGTCCCCTGGACTGGCCTGAAGTAATCAGAGGGCTTTGAAGCAGAGGCAGTGTTTGGGCTGAGTCCTCTGAGTGTTCTGCAAAGAGGGCACCCTGTTGATTGTTTTTTCCTTTTACAGTGCGAGGGACTGAACTCAGGCTCTTTGGACTTTGCATCCAACCCTCTCTTTTTTTTTTTAAATTTTGAGACAGAGTCTCACTAAGTCATTGGATTGTCTATGCTGTGCTCAAACATTCTGTCCTCCTGCCTCAGCCTCTCCGAGTGCTAGGACTGTGTATGCGTTCCACTGTGTGGTGTCTTGGGAGTGTCCAGCACAGTGTTCTGGAGCTACATGTCAGTACTTTTCGTATCTGTGCAGTTCCGGGAGCTTAGCTGTTTTAAGAAGTGGTTGACATAGTTCAGCAGTCCTAGGAGGTAGCGATGTTTGCTAATGTCATTTCTAGGGGATCCCTTGGCTCAGAGGGGCAGGATCTTGTCAGGCTGGCATTAGGCTTGGGGCGGGGCATCAAGGCTGGAGTAGGAGGTATGGGGCTGGTCAGGTGTCTGTGGAAGAAAGGGAAAGGGTGGCACTGTGGTAGTAGCGGCTTGATCCTGCAGTTTAAGTTCAGGGTCACATCTGGGCAGAGCAGATCAGAGAGGTAAGTAGGGCAGGTCAAGACTGTGTAGAAGGGAAAGGGAGAACCATCTTGGGAGTGGTAGAGCTAGAGGCCTCCAGGCATTGCAGGGCTCTTTGGTACAGCGAGAGCGTGTGATCAAGGGGAGGGTGGGCATCAGAGGCCCCTTGATAGATGGGCTCGGTGGGTGAGCAGAGGGCAAGGGATTTGGGGAGGCTGCCTGCAGGGGGGCCGGGAGGAGCAGCCACGGCCTCCTAACATCAGCTGCATGCTTGGTCACTGCACTGGGGCAGAATCTCCATGTGGGACTCAGGCTAAGCTTTGGCTAAGGTCAAAGGGCAGCCCAGCAGCAGCAGACTCAGATTGCTGAAGGATCTGATTCAGGGATGGAATGGCAATGGAGAAGGACTTAAAGGCCAAGGAGGGCACACTGCGGTGGGGCATGGGCCAGGCTGGTGTCCAGGGTCAGTACCTGTTGTGGAACCAGGGCAGTCTTGGGTATTGAGTGAGCAGGACAAAGCAGAGCTCTAGTGAGAGGAAGTGGGGATGCAGTTTGCGCAGGAACCCTGTGATCCAGTGTGCCAGGATCCTCCCTTCCCTCCTTTCCCATCCCTTCTTCCCAGTTGGTCCTTGCTTAGGAGCTGGTGGTGGGCATTTTTCTTTCAGCTAGCTCTTATGTGTCTGGTTAATAAAACTAGAAAATAAATTTGTGTTATGTAATAAATACATTTATTTGGTTGACAAGTCTTAAAAACAAGAGGCTAATGATTGCAAATTTGGGGTCTTCTGAGGCAGGAACTGTGAGCATTTTGTGTGACTGGGCTGACTTGGGCAGGCTGTGGTGGAGGCCCAGGTGGGGGTTGCAGCCCCATCTTCATGATAATGATGCCTGGTCTGCACTGGCAGCTTTGGAACAGCAGGAAGGTATGTGGGGGGGTGGTTGGGGAGCGTCACCAATGGCCCCAACCCAGCCAGCTGATGCTGATGCTCCCTTGCCAGGGCCAGGATGATAAGATAGGCTACCAGCACCTGGGTCCCTGCGAGGAGACTCTGCCTGCTGTGTAAGGAGAGGCTAAAGGGAAATGGTTGCCTGCCTTCCTGAGAATCGCACACCCTCATGGCAAGGCCTGAAGTCTGAACCAGGGCTTCTCTGTGTCTTCTGGTGTAAATAGGGATTCTTTCTTCCATCCAGCCACTGTTCTATCTCTAAATCTCACTGTCCTTCGGCACACTTACTCATGCCACCATGCGTCTACTCATCCTGCAGCCCACTCAGTTCACTCAGCCCATCCATCCATCCATCCGTCCATCTATCCATCTGCCTACCACCCACCCAGTTCATCTATCTTATGTCTGTCTACCAACCAGATCCATGTATTGGTCTGTCCATTATTCATCTGTCCATCCACTCATCTATTTATATATGTCAATGCTTTGGTCCATCTAATTACCCTTTTTGAGACAGAGTCTCACTACATAGTGCAGGCTGACCTTGAACTCATGAGGATCCTTGTGCCTCAGCCTCTCGAGTGCTGGGATTACAGGCGTGTACCACCACACTCAGCTTCCGCTTACCTTTTGATATTCTTTCCATCTCTCAGCCCACCCATCCTTTTGTCCATGCAGCATAAGCCCACCCATCCACCTGGACAGTTGTACACTATCTTCGCTGCCTGTTGTATACCAGATAGTATGCTGGGTCATAAGACACAGTCTTTTCCTTTGAGGAGCTCACAGTTGGGGGACAGATCATAGTAGTGATATCCCTGTGATCTCTTGTTCCCACTCTGTTTGGCTCCTTCCGCTCCCATTGCATGGGTGCCACACCATCCCTAAATACCCCAGGCCAGCGCCCATTGTGTGGGCTTCACCCTGCTCACCCTGCTCCTGGACACCCCTTTACCCTGAAGCCTTCGTATGATCTCCTAGAACTGCACTTTTCCTGTACACTTGTGTGAGTTATCTCTTAAGTTCTGGCTGGCATTTGGCATGTTGTATGTTCATTGTCTCTTTCTCCTGTCTCTCAGCATAGTTTATTAAATCCATGACGCGGGGGGTCCTGGCCCTAGCTCAGTCCTTTAAGTGGCTGCTTCCACAAAGCTGTCAGCCTCAGGTTGCTGGAGTTCGAACCTCACAACTCTCCCCCTGGCCAAAAATGCCCTGAAGGCAGTCGAGGAAAAAAAAAAAAAAACAACAAAAAACCTTATGGGGGCCTGGCCTTAGCTCAGTTGTTTAAGTGGCTGCTTCCACAAAGCTGTCAGCCTCAGGTTGCTGGAGTTCGAACCTCACAACTCTCCCCCTGGAAAAAAAAACAAAAAAAAAACTTAAATCCATGACGCAGAGACTTTGTTCTCTACTACATTTTCAGAACCTAAAACAAATAGTGACTGGCACATAGTAGGAGCTCAGTAAATAACTATGGAAATAAAAAACCAAAATCCTGAAAAATGCTACAGTCAGAGAGCATCTTTGGGGAGCAGAATGGAGTGGGCAGAGCCTGAGGGGCAGGACCTGGTCACTTGGGTCATGGCTGAGGTGGGGCAGCAGACAGACCCTGGTCAGCTTTGTAGTGGCCAGAAAGGACTTTGAGAGGTCAGTGGACAGATGGGGACAAATTCTGTGGGATGTGGTAAAGTCAGGGAAGAGGACTCTTTGCAGCTCTGCTGCAGGAATGTCAGCAGAGACACAGGGCACTGTGGCAGAGAGCAGTGTGCTATGCATCGTGAGGATCACACATACTGGGAACTTACCATGTTCCTACACTGCAGGTCACAGACACATGCAGTGTGGACACAGTGTTGAACCTGGACTATGGCTTTGGGCTTTGCTGGCTGGCTAGTATTGGCCATGTCTGGTTTCCTGTGTTGGGCTGCATGTGCCTCAGGAGAGGTGAGTCAAGGTCGCTAGGGTAGGATTCGCTGCATGGTCCTCCAGCCTTCCTGCCTTAGGATCTGTGGGCCCAAGACCCCAGGACTTGGGGCCCCCACCTCTGTCTGTATGCAGCCAGCCCAAGTGTGTGTACAGCCAGCACCACTGACAGCAGTGTGGCATGCTGGAGGCTGTAGCCGTTTCTCAGTTCCTGATACCCCCTCCAGAAACCCGGGAGGACCGGACGAAGAGGCTTTTCCGTCACTACACGGTGGGCTCCTATGACAGCCTGACTTCACACAGGTACTGGCAGTTGGAACGGTGGTGTACACTCATGGGGTGTGGGTGGATGTGGTATGGATATCTACAGAGGGTAGAGGAGGGTGTGGAATGGTGTCATCACCTCTGCTTTCTGCTGTCACTGGGGTGGCCTGTGCTATGGGACCCTGCAGGGTCAGCCTGCCACCCTGTCTGCAGGGCTGGCCTTACTCTTCCTGCTTTCTTCTGTCAGCGATTATGTCATTGATGACAAGGTGGCCGTCCTGCAGAAAAGGGACCATGAGGGCTTTGGCTTCGTGCTCCGGGGTGCCAAAGGTAAGGGTGGTGCTGTGAGGGCCAAGTACAGGCTAGAGTGTCTTTGTGCTCCACCTCTGCTCCGCCCCTTCTGGGCCTGCCCATTTTCCTCTGCTGCTGTCACTGTCACTGTCACTGTCTGTGTTTGGAGTCCCAGTTCAAGGCAGTAATTCCCTCCCTCTATTTTTCCCTCCTTGCTGTGGGGAACCTGGAAGAGCAGGGGCCTTCCTGGTGGGAGTGAGGGGAGTCTTCAAGGGATGTGTGCTGGGTTCCTGGCTGGTGTGCTACTTGCCACCACCCAGCCTAGGTCATGTTGTGACCTGAGCTCAAGCCACACTGGTAAGGAGCCCTCCTGCTTGCCTCTGCAGCAGAGACCCCCATTGAGGAGTTCACACCCACACCAGCCTTTCCTGCGCTCCAGTACCTCGAGTCTGTGGATGTGGAGGGGGTGGCCTGGAGGGCTGGGCTGCGGACTGGAGACTTCCTTATCGAGGTGAGGCCTATCCTGACCCTTGTGGCCCAATAGGGTGCTGACCCCTGAGTCTGGGGAACATACCTAGGCACCCCTCCCAGCTGCTTCTCTGTCTCAGGTGAATGGGGTGAATGTGGTGAAGGTTGGACACAAGCAGGTGGTAGCTCTCATCCGCCAGGGTGGCAACCGCCTGGTCATGAAGGTCGTGTCTGTGACAAGGAAGCCAGAGGAAGATGGGGCTCGGCGCAGAGGTGAGGGCTCGGGCTGTTTTAGCTGACTTTCCCCTTTGCTCCTGATCTTAGCCCTTTAAACTCAGAGTCACATTTATCCCCATCCCTGACCCCATACTGCTATCAGATTCCTGAATTTAGACAAAATGCCCAAATTCCCAGCGCAGGGTGCATTTTTCCCTGGTACTAGATTCCCTTTTCCCTGACTGACCCCTTGCCTGGCTTCTGATCCCTGACCCCACATACCCTTCCTCAGATTCCCGCCCCCTCCTTCCCCGTCCCCCCAGCCCCTGGCGTAGCAGAGTCCTCCTTCCCGACACCACCAGCAGCTGCCTGGAGGCCGGGGTTGCCATGGCAACTGTGAGGTTGACGCTGCTGCTTATTGTCGGAGGGAAGGGGGAGGCGGCACCTGAGGGAAGAGGAAAAGCGTCTTCTCCCCGCGCCGCGCTGAACAGCCTGGGCCCAGGAGGCTTTGCCGCTGGCTCAGCCCGGCCAGGCCTGCGGCTTGGCGGGCCACACCCTGGTCCCCTGAGGAGCAGTGGTCATCAGGGTCCCTGGGTGGGGGGTTCTGGAGCAGCAGCAGCTGGCCTGGCAGGAGACCCTCCCAGCCCCCACCCCATGGCTTCGGTGCTGCCTTGCCAGGCCCTTAGAGCCTGCAGGGTGGGCACTAAGTCCAGATCCAGTCAGCACTCTGACCCCTACCGGCACCAGCTGAGCACCTCCTGAGGCCCAGGCTCTGGGAGTCTAAGGGGTCCCAAGGGCCCCAGAGGCCCCACTGCCCCAGCCCCAGGGCTCCCTGATCTCCCCGCACCATGAAGAAGTTTGCATCCAGCCGCAGCCTGAACAAGATCCTGGCACAGTGTGACTCGTCCTCGCGGGAGTACGAGGAGGTCCAGGCAGTAGAGCGCAAGTGGCACCTGCACCTGGCCACGCCGCGCCGCCTGCTGCTGGACAGGAGGTCCAAGGCCTCCCTCTTCTTTGCAGCCCCACCACCCCCCAAGAGGGCTCCTAGTACCACACTGACTCTACGCTCTAAGTCCATGACTGCAGAACTGGAGGAACTTGGTGAGCACTATGGGGGCGGTAGGGGACAGCAGGCAAATGGCCCAAGATGGGCAGACCAGAGTGGGAGACACCAGGGCCTGAGCTGGGCTGAGGCTGGGCGACCACAAGAAGAGACAGATGTGGGTGCAGATCCGGGGGTGGGGGGAGGTAGAGAAATTCAGTGCCTGTGGGTGAGAAGGAAACGGCGGCGTGTGGAAGGGTGAGGGCTGAGTGGCTGGAGGGGAGCTGCAAGACCACCAGCAGACAGCTGGGGAGCGAGGCCCGGCCCTGCAGCAAGTTTGCACACGCGTGCATGTGTATGTACATGTGCTGCTCCCAACTCCACGTCTCCAGTCTGACTTCGCTGCTGTGTTTTGTCCAAGTGGGGAAAGAGTAATGTGTGGCACCCCTGGGTCTGTTTCTGATTCTGCCACGCCCCAGCTGGGCTGTTTTTATGTTTCTTTTACTCTGGTGCCTGAATGTGCATTGTCCAAGACAGTCTGGGCACTGCTGGGACCTTTGTGAGCACTTCTAGTATGAAGATGGGATGGGGCCTTGGGGACTGCATGGAGGGTAGAGGGTGTGGGTGCTGATGGGCAGATTGAGGGACAACTTCAAGGTGACCCCAGACGGCATCAGCATGGGCCTGTTCCATGAACTGACTCTTTTTGACACGTGACAGTTAACACCCTTGTCTTGGGCACATCCCTGTGTATGTGACCACTGATGTGACGGTTGACACCTTTCTCACGGACATGTGCATATGTACATAACTGTGTCCTATTAACAGCCTCATGCTGGCTATCTCTCAGTGTATGTGGCTGTGTCCTGATCTGTGATGGCTGACAGCCTGGACACAAATACGTGTGACTTATCCTTTGGGTGGACATGATACATGTGGCCGTGAAGAGCTTTGTGGCTGTATTCTAGTCATCAGTAGCCTCCTTGCCAGGACATGTTATCGGTGATACATTCTTGTCTTCCATAGTATGAGCCCTGTCCCAGTGCCATAGTTGCTGAGGTTGTGGCTTAGTCTTGCTCCCAGAACTCTCTCTCTCTCTCTGACCTTTCACGTGGCCTGAGTCTGGTTCTTCCTCGCTACAGGCTGAGCTGCCTTATTCTAGCCAAGCTGTTTTGACTGTAGTTGTGGAAAACAGCTACCTAGATAGACTGGGCTGGCATGATCAGGATTTTCCTAGCCATCAGTGTTCAACATGCAGTCAGTTCAGAGTTGAGGAAGAAGAGCCCTTAGGTCTCAAAAATAAAGATAGAAATCAAAGCTACAGAAGCAGGGAAAACCAATTCTTTCTTAGCCAGTGGTGGAGGGTCCCAGGGCAGGGAGTAGGGGTTCTGAAGCCCACATAGGACTGGAAGACCTGGGACTAGCACAGCCTAAGAACTGGTGATCAGAGAAAAGTATGAAAGAGTGAAATGAAATGTTGAAGTTTTTACAGGATTTAAGAGAACTAAAAGTGCTAAGAGATGAGAATAAGATGGAAAAAGAATAAGCACATTTTAGAACTATCCGTAAAGAAATGTTACTGAAACAAAAGTATAGACTTAAAAATTTGTGCCTGGGATAAAAAGTGTACTAGGTTGAGGTGAAACAAGCAGGCAGTGAGAAAGTAAGTCTGAGTGACTGACTAGGTGGGATCAGCACAGCAGGAGATGGAGGTATGGCCCCACAGGACAGCTGGGGAGTGTGAGGTCAGCAGGCACCAGTGAGAAGGTCCCAAAGCCTGCCTGGTGGGAATCCCTGGAGTTGGTAAAAAGAAAGACGGTATTTATGCTGGAATTTTTTTTTTTTTTTTTTGATGGTACCAGGGACTGAACTCAGGACTTTGCACTTGCCAAGCAAGTGCTTATTTTACTGAAGTATCTCCCCAGCCCAAAAGACAGTATTTAAAAATTTCCCAAACATGAACAAAGATGGGAGATCCAAATGTGAAGTGTAAGTCCTAAGGAAGGAAATGGATCAGAAGAAAGCTTTAGAATACCACTGACAAACAGAAATCTTAAGAATTTGTGTGTGTGTGTGTGTGTGTGTGTGTGTGTGTGTGTAGCAGTAGATTACCTGACAGCAAGCTTCTTGTAGCAGAAGATGATGGAACGATGTGGGAAGTCCTCCTGGCTAGCCTCTGCACCCAGCCAAACCTGCTCCTGGAGGGAGCAAGAAATGCTTGCAGACTCCTGGTTCCAGGGTTGTAAGGGTTCATATCAGTCACAGATGGTTGACCTATCCATCGCATTGACCAGTAGACCACCCCAGTCACCTTCCACAGGCTGCTAGAGCTGTGTGCTCCATGCTCAGAGGGGACCTCCGAGGTTGTGCAGATGGGTTTTGGGCAGCCTGAGCGCTATGGTCCAGAGACTGCAGTTCTCTGCCCTATAAGTGGACTAAGACAAGCAGTGGTTTCAAGCTGACTACCTTACTGACTACAAGCAGCGAGATGACTCTTCCCCTGTACTCCAGAAGCAACAGGAGGGGGCTGCTGGGAATTACTTTGGATCCTGGTAGTCCAGAGGAGCTCAGCCACGGTATTAGGCTTTTCCTGAGCCTGGAGGAGGAGAAGGGGACAGCTCAGCACAAAGCTCACACCTCTGGGTCCAGCGTGCTGAATTCAGAGAAGGGCTGGGCTCCCAGGGGCTTGGAGAGCCACCCTGCACCCACGTCTTCCCCAGGAGGCCAGCACACTTGCCTGCTTCCTGACCACTCTCCTCTGAAATCTTCGATTGAGGAAACACGTAGGCATCCGGGCTCCCCAGGTGTCCGAGGGGCCACCACACAAGCCAGGGTTGCACTTTCCAAAGTTAGGCATGGGCTATATTGCTTACCCTCAACACAAATGTATCCATCCTGCCAGTCTCACCATCAGAAGCCCTACAGGATCCATAGTCTTACCGCCTGGAAAGGAGAAAGTGTGAGATGAGGAGGAGCAGGCAGTGGGGGTGAAGGTTCCTACCCAGGTGGCTTGTGCTATGTGGAGGAAGAGGAGGGAGGGTTCCTGTGAGCAAAGGCTGGGTGCAGAAAATTAAGGTTGTGGGGGCTGAGTGAGAAGAAGGGGTTGACACAGGGCCCTCCCGAGAGGTGGTGGAGGGAGTGCAAGGTGCCCCTGTTCCCTTCCTCAGGAGGGCTCCTCACCCTTCCCCTTGTGTACATCAGCTCAGCTTGAGTCAAAGACGTGTGGAGCCAGAGGCCAGGGAGACCAGGGCTGGGGCGCCTGGCAGGTCCAGGCTTCCTGTTCACTTTCTTAGGTGAAATCAGTTCTCTGTAATAACTGGGCTCCTTTCGCTTTTGTGATGAGAAGTTAGGGTAGGTGACATGCCTTTGTGCCTGTTACTGGCATCGGTGTGAGCAAGGGTTCTCTTCCACACATCCTTGTCTTGCGTTTTGTTAAAAATCTTCGGGGAGCGGCCTGTGTGTCTTGGTGGTAGAGTGCTTGCTCAGGGCCCTTGGTTCTATCCGGAGCAGTAGTCTGCCCTCCAAGACACCCCCCCAGGGAATGCCCCGACAGCCTCCTGGCACAGAATGCTCACTGGTGATTGACCACCTTTGCTTTCAGTGTCCTATGAACTTAGTTTTCACAGGTTCTTTTTCCCTTTTCTGAACAAACACTTGACTGTGGTTTGCTTGTGTGTGTTGTCATGTGCTCACATCTGTGTAGGCATGTGCATATGTGAGTGGCCATGTGGTGCATGCATGAGCATGTGGTGTGCATATATGCAAGTGTGTGTCATTGCCATGTACTAAGCAACACAGCATTTGGAGCACAGGAAAGACCTGTTGCTGGGCAGGCCCCTGAAGTCCTAGTTGGTAGGGAAGTGGGCAGTGGTGGGGCAGCATGGGGGATTGCGTGGAGTGGGTAAGTGTGAGTGGGCCCGGATGCCACGGGATGGAGCTGTCTCTTACCCCCTTTGCTCTGTTTCTCGATTCCAAGCCTCCATTCGGAGAAGAAAAGGGGGTAAGTCATCTGTCTGTGCCCCTAGGCCTAGCTCTTCTTGGTCCCTATTGGGGAATAAGTGTTTGATGATGGTGGCCTGGAATCCCGGTCATACTTGTTGTCCATCTTTGCTTTGGGGGTCTGACAGCAGCATGGTGAATGGCCTGGGGAGGACTGGTGGGGTATTGCCGTGTGTGTGACTATGTGGGATACAATGGGGAGGGGGTTGCACTGCTGTAGACCTCAGGGCTCCTAGGTGAGCTGGGAAAGGCCGTGGTGGGAGGGTCCTGTATGCTGTGGCCAAGAGCTGGAGAGGACAAGGGCTCCATGGAGCTTGTAGTAGTCAGTGACGGGGCCATGTTGGGATGTGGGCTTAAGGGTGTGCGGTTCTGGCCTGTGCTACATCTTTTAAAAATTTTTTTCTTTCTATTTATTTATTTATTTATTTATTGGATATAGGGTCTCACCAAACAGTTCAGACTCATAGTGATCCTCCTGTCTCAGCCTCCCCAGTGCTAGGATTATAGGCATGTACTACCATGCCTGGTTGGGGGGCTGACACAGGGTTCCAGAGCCAGCATGGCATGGCTGGCTGGTACCAGGGATTGAACTCGGGTCTTTGTGCTTGCGAGGCAGGTGCTCAGACTGCTGAGCTATCTCCCCAGCCCTGTGCTGCATTTTTTTTGTCTGTCATTTTGGGCCTGCCTCTGCCTGGGTTGTGGGCCCCACTACTGCTACCTTGTTGGATGGAGCAGGACTAGGGTCATAGGACAGTCCCTTCAGAGTAGGGATGTGGGTCCCATAGCCCTGGGAAAGGATCTCTGAGCCCCCTTGCTGGCACCCATGCTGCTGACTTGCCTACCCTGTCTTCAGACCAGATTCCCTGTGTGTCTTTTGGGGGAAGAGGACAGGGTTGCCTAAGCCTGATAAGAGGTCCAGTGTTTGGTGGTTTGGGGGCTTAGCTTTCTGCTGCCCTTTCTCTGCCTTTTGGGTAGGTGGGAATGAGGCCCTGGTGGGACCCAAGGTGGTCTCAGGCATGTGTTTAAGCGCACGTTGTCTGGGCACATAGTGCCCCTTCTGGCATGGGCTCTTCTGACCCCTGCTGTGTTCCCCAACTTCAGCAGCCCTCTGCTCCCTGACCCCCAGTCTCCCGTTGTCTTTGCGGTATTAACAGGTCATGGTCTCTAAATGTCCCTGCTCTGTGGACATTCGGGATATTATGGTTCCGCCCTCCAGCGCATTAGTGGGGCTTCTGCAAGACTGTGCTGTGACCTGTGTGCCTCTTGCAGCTGGGGAAAAGTAGCAGAGATTTGTAACCCCACAGGCCCTCACCTCTGCCTGGGCCCCCACACATTCTGCCCTATATCCAGATGACCTGCATCGGAGGCTGGTGGCAGTGCATAGATCTGGCTCACGATGGGCTTTATTTCCTTCAAGTACCTAAAAATAATTTTTAAAAGATATTTATTTTTTGTTTTAGTTTTGAGATTGGGTCTCACTATGTAGTTTAAGATGGACTTGAACTCACTATCTCGGCTGGCCTTAAACTTGTGATCCTCCTGCCTCAGCCTAAGTGCTGGAATTACAGGCATGTGCCACCATGCTCAGTTTAAAAATTATTTAGGCTGTGTTTACTAGTTATGTTGGGGGTTTATGTCAGCCTCATCAATTTGTCATTTCCTTTTTTTTTTTTTTTTTTGTATGCTGGGGATTGAACCTAGGTTTTGCACATTTTGCACACTAGACATATGTCCTAGCACTGAGCTATATAGTCCCATCCCTTTTTAAAATTCTGAGATAGGTGCTTAATGTATTGCCCAGCCTAGCTTTGACTTTGTGATCTTCCTGTCCCAGCCTCTTGAATAGCTAGGATTATAGGCATGCATCACCTTGCTCAGTTTCATTTGTGTGTGTGTGTGTGTGTGTGTGTGTGTGTGTGTAATTTATTTTTAATTTTTATTTTATTGTTTGTATAGCTCGTTGTTGCAGGGTTTCACTGTGCAGCTCGTACTTGTGGTGACCCTTCCACTTTCAGCCTCCCCAGTGCTGGGATTACAGGTGTGCACATTCAGACTCTGGCTGTCTCAGTCCGCTCTGTGGGCTGGGCTGGCACAGCATGTGGTGCTGGGGGTTGAACTGTGGTTCCTGCACTTGCCTAAGCTTGCCTAGGCAGGCACTTTAGTCTGCTGAGCTATCTCACTGGCCACCCATGTCTGTGTGTAATTCATATATATATATATATATATATATATATATATATATATGTTTTTTTTTTTTTTTTTTTTTTGTAGTACCAGGGATTGAACTCAGGACCTTGTGCTTGCCAGGCAGGCACTCATGCCACTGAGCTATCTCCCTGGTCCTATTTTTCATTTTTACTTTTTTTTTTATTTTATTTTATTGGTGGAACCAGGGATTGAACTCAGAACCTTGCGCTTGCCAGAGAAGTGCTTATTCTACTGAGCTATCTCCCTGCCCCCCTCCTTTTTTTAAAGACAGAATCTCACTATGTAATTTAGGTGGGCCTTGAATTCATGATGTAGCCTAAACTAGCCTTGAGGCCTCCTGACTCAGCTTCCTGGATGTTGGGGTTACCTGACATTTGCAGAGCTTGATTCTTTTCCTCTGGAAAACAGGGCTCCATCACTGTTGTCTCTGAGCTACAAGAGGTGCTTTGCTGATGTGTACACACTTCTTCGGGCTTCTGAGCACGGTGTGCTGGACCCAGAGATGCACCTTTTTTGAACTCACAGCTAGAGTGGCAGTGTGACTTGTTAGGAGACAGACTACCGGTGTTTATGTCTTGTAATTAAGTGTGATCTCTTATCTATAATCTGGGGCATTTTAGCTCTGTGTCTGCTTCACTTTGCTCCTGGGCAAAATGAGGTTGAGAGTGGGCTCTTCGTAAGGTTTCTGTGGGATTTGCACAAAGCCCTGCACATACTGGACATCACCAAGGACTCAACACCAGGTGGCAGTGGTGGCTTCATCTTAAAGGAAATTGCTCATCTTATCACCAAAACAGATGAGAAGGCCTTTCGAACAAACCTGGGGTGCACCTGGACCCATTACCTGGTGGTGTTGGAAGCCATGGATGGGCCCTATGAGCTACATTTCAGCATGTTTTGCTGGTGACCTATGTTGGTCAGGGTACAGACTGGGCTCCAGCAGAATATGTACTTTTCCTTCTAAGGACTTGCTAATTGTGTGGGGAGACAGGAGCCAGGTGTTCTGAGCATGTGCTTAGGTGTGCATGGAGGCAGCATTTACGGGCTCCTCTGTGCTGACGCGCCCTGGAGCTGTGGCGTGCAGGTGCTGGGTCTGCAGTGAGGGCAGACTCACAGAGTATATGGATGGGTGGCAGGTGTGCAGTTGGGTCTGGGTCGGGTACCAGATAGTGTCAGGGCATCATCTTACAGCAGTTGCCAAGTGGATTGCAGGGGGACCCATCAGGTACTGGTGAACAGGCGCAGGTTGGGCCTGGAAGGAGCAGGTGTCCAGGTGGTCCACAGATCTCCAGCAGGGATACTTTGCAAGTGAAAAGATACCAGAGCAGTTTTCTGGGGTGGGGTGGGGCCCAGGGCCATGTGCAGCCTGAGGGGTGAGTAGGGCTAGGTGAGGCTCTGTGTGAGAGGCTGGTGTAGTGGCCAGGTAGACACGGGTACTGTCCCCAACCACTGCTGCATGCCCTGAGCACTGACCTGAATGTGTCTCCCTGGGGGGATATCTAGCCCTCAGACATGTTAGTTGGACATTTTCAAATCTGTTCGATAAGCAGGAAAATGTTAATTTCACTTTAATAAAAACAAGCAGGGCCGGGGAAATGGCTCAGTGGAATAAACGCTTCCCTGGCAAGCGCAAGGGCCTGAGTTCAATCCCTGGTTCTGCCAAAAAAAAAAAAAAAACCAAAACAAGCAAAGCTTTTCTTTTATAATGGACTTGAACACACCCGAGGCCTTCTGGTGCCTTTCCACCCCCTGGGGCATATTAAGAATCAGTCCTCCTGAGGCCTCCACACCAGCCCTCTGCTCTCTGGCGCCCACTGCTTGCCAAGGGCCTGGGGGAAACCCTTCCAGAAGGGTCTTTCCAGCCTCACCTCCCATCCCTGCTGGAGCTGCCTTTTCTTGGGGTGAAGGAGGAAGATTCTTTCTCTGCTGTCTATATCAAACCCTGTGTAGATTCCTAGCCCAAGCTTTTTCAGGGAGGGTCCTCTACTTGCCTGTTCATTTACTATTGGCTTGTCCACCCGTTTGGACATCCATGGATTCCTGGTCGTACACTGGGTTCCCAGGCTGTGGTCCCTAGTAGCTGGCCCTGGCTTGTGGTGGGGGTCAGGCCATGTACTGAGAACAGGCATGGAGTGGACTGAGAGTCGGTGAGATACAGCTGTGAATGGTTCTGTCCCTCAGCTTTCCTACTCTTGGTCAGTCCCAGTGACTCCTTAGGGTCCAGGCTGCCAACCTTGGGCAGTGAGGAGCCCAAAGACAGTCCTGTCAGCGTCATGAGGCAATGGGCTGGGGTCTAGGGCTGAGAGTAGCTCTCCTTGGCTGTGCAGAAAAGCTGGATGAGATCCTGGCAGCTGCTACGGAGCCAACACTGAGGCCAGACATTGCGGACGCCGACTCCAGGGCAGCCACTGTGAAGCAGCGGCCCACCAGCCGGAGGATCACTCCTGCGGAGATCAGTGTAAGCCGGCAGGTGGGCCCTGGGGACAATGGTTCTGGCTCCTCTTTTCTGAGAGGCGGGTCCTTCTTTTGGACCCCCTCTCCACAGGGGATGCAGTATCCCATGGCTTCTCTTGGAGGCCCTTGGGACACCTCAGCACCCATGGTTCCCACTCTGTGGCTGCTGCTTGTGATGCCCTGGCCTCAGGTAGCTTCTGTGTTACTCCAGAACCACTTGGGCCTGCCAGTCCCCTGGGGCCACAATCCAGTGTCCCTGCCTCTGTCCCGTCCCCAACTTGGCACTTTCTGGGCCCCTGTCCCTCCTGTCTCCAACTCAGGCAGTGCCCAGGATCTGTCTCCATTGTGTCATTGTCTGTTCTGCCACATGACCCAATCCCTGACTGGCTGCACTTCTGCTGCCTGAATGCAGGGGCTAATTCCTATGTCCAGTGCCACTGGAGGGGATCCATGAAGTTGTAGTCTCCAGCTTAGTAGGAATGGGGGGATGGACGGAGAACTGGGGACCCTGGTGCCCTGGAACCTCCATGTTCCCCCTCCCCAACCCCCCCCCTACAGTCATTGTTTGAGCGCCAGGGCCTCCCGGGCCCAGAAAAGCTGCCGGGCTCTCTGCGGAAGGGGATTCCACGGACCAAGTCTGTAGGTACGGCTGGGGGTGGGGCTGCATGGGGCCTGGAGGGATGGGGCTGGGTCAGGTGGACTCAGCTGGAGGACCCTGCCTCTCCCTGCCCCCAGCTGGGGCTTCCAGTTCCCCAAGGCCCACTTGTCCCTGCCCAGCCCAGGGAGCTCATTTTTTTAGTGAACATAAGAGATTAGTCTGTCCCCAGCTCAGAGAAGCACTTCTGGAAGAAACCTTAGAATTCCTTGACCAGCCTTGCTGCCCCTTCCTCCTCCCACTACTCTTGTCCACTGGGCAAACCACCCTCAGCCTGTCACTTCTGCCTCCTACCAGCATGGAGTTCTTGTCGTGTCCCCCCCCCCCCCAGTCAGCCATCTCCTGTCCTGGCTGCAAGTCTGCATTCTTACTCTAAAGCTACCCTTTCCTTGAATCTGTCTCTCCTCCCCTTCACAGCCAGTTTTCCCCAAATGGCCACTTGTGCTTGCGCAGTCTCCTGACCCTCACACCCTCACATGCTGTGAACCTGTGACAGAAACTCCATATCCCAAGCTGAAACTGCTCTCAGCATCTCTGCCCAGGGTGTCCTTCCTGACTTCTGTGTACTTTGCTCCCTCCTTCCTGAGACTCCTCCCTCTGGCAGTGCTTCCTGGTTTCCCCTCCATTCTCAGGCTATGCCTGTTGAGTGCCCACCCCAGCTGCCCCAGTGAGAGGCCTTCTCAAAGCATCCTCTCTGGATCTCATCCGTTGGGGCCCTGTAGGCCTCCAGTCATGTCACACCCACCCTTGGCCAGCTCCTTTCCAGGTGCCAGGCTTGGACTTTCCTGCAGACCTCTAGTCTTCCCTGCCTGTGACCTGGGCATCTACCCACATGTCCCTGTGCGCCCACCATACTCACCATCTGCTCCTGTATGCAGACCTTGCTTAGACTGCCCTCAGGTGGACGCTGAGTGTGCGGGCAGTGGTTCATTTCATACAGCAGCCGTATTGAGCAGCACCATCTGTTTAACTGAAGCCCTGAGAGTTAACATGGTTTGCCCATGGTTATGTGGCTGTCTTACCTGTCTGCCATCCACCCTCATATGAGCGTCTCATGTACCCCAGAACTCCTGCCTACTCCAGGCCAGCAATGGAAGACCTTTTAATACTTTGAATACTAGCTGTAGGGATGCATTTGAGTTTAGACTCAGGATAAATGGGAGTTTATAGGGGACAGTGGAGCAGACTGCTGACACAGCCAGTGTTTAAAAATCAGTCATTCATTGATTACCAGGATCAGTTTTACAGTTGGAGAGAAGAAGGTTGGTGAGATTGCAGCTATTTTGGACTGAGAGGTGCTCTTCCCTGAATTCTCTGATGGTTTTCTTTCCTCTGCCTCACCTGACACATTTGGGGTAGGCTACCTGAAAACTCTGTCCAAACCAGGCATCATTGTCTTGAAACTGGACCACAGCTTTGTTCTCAGGACCTTCTGTCCTGTCCTCTGTCCCTTCTCTCTGGCAGAGGTGGCTTTCTGCAGTGTAGTTATCCCTCTACCTCTCCCTGCTAGACCCTCATCTTAGGCCCCAGGGGCCAGCACTAGTCCTCTCCTTGTCATCTGGGAATCTGGTCTTCCAGCACTTATTTTACTCACTTGGCCTCACCCTGTGGATAGCCAGTCCTTCAGGCCTGCCTTGTCTATGGGCTGACACCATAGATCCAGATCTGTGCCCTTGCTCCGTAGGCCCCAGGTGGCTGGGAGGCTTGCTCCTGTGTTCTCTTGACAGTTAGGTGACAGGTGCTTATGGTTGGCATCCAGCTGCCAACATGAGTAATGCCAGGTTCCCTGGGCTCTCCCTCTGTGCTGGCTGTGTGGTGCTGGAGACATGATGTAGCTCTAGAAACTGCAGGACTCTGTCCATGAGGCCCCTAATGCCCACCTCCAAGGCCTGGCCAGGCTCACCTTGGAGGCTGTTCAGGCTGAACTCTACCTGGGCACATGCTCATGCTCAGGTCCTACACCTGGAAGCTTGCACTCATTGCACTCAGAAAGCACTCTTGGTACTGTTGTGATATTCAGGGTCACCTTTGCCCTGGGTGGCATCAAAAGGAACTCCCAGTCCATGCTGAGCAAGTGGCTTTTCTTTACCCGGAGGCAGAACTTGGCATGTGATTAGCATTAAATTTCCTCGTTTTCATCCTAACACGTCACTCCCGCCTTCAACATCCTTGAGGTGCACTAGTTCTTCCTGCATAGCTAACACACAGCGTGTGGGTGTTCAGTGCATGTTCGTGTGCTGTGCAGGGGTGCAGTTGGGAGGAGACCCAGGGCTAGTGGGCAGACTGTCCAGCAGTGGGAGGGAAGGCAGACCTAAAAATAACATGATACCTCAGCCACCTTCCCGTAGTGCTGCTGCCTGCTTAGCCCTGTAGTGTAAACCTTAAATGGCCCCAAACTGGGGAGGGTCTGCCATAGATGAGACTGGTACTCCTAGAAGTGGCAGGGTGGAACAAGAATTCAAGTCTAAGTGTAGCCAGAGTCCACCTTGCTACACTTGCAGTGGCAAAGAGCAGTCCGCCTGAAGCGCAGCAGTGCTTTGTGGAGCCTCACACACAGTTGTGGAGGCTAAGGATTTCTGGGCTCAAGGACCAGTGGCCTGCACTGGAGTAAGGTCCTAACAGTGCTGATCAAGCCCGGACCAAGGCCATGCTGGTCCTCTACACCTCAGGTTGGGCAGCCCATCCATGTGGCACAAGTGCCCACATTATGTCTCAAAGACATAGGTTCTGATGGGTTCTAGCTGGCTCCAGGATCTTAGTGACATCTGCAAAGAGAGTAGGAGGCTTTTAATCTGTGTTACCCATGAGAGAACAGGCACAGCGGGCTTAGAGCCTAGTCTCAGGCCATCACATAGCCTATAGAGGATTGGCACAGTTCCTTCTATTGTCCACCCATTCTTCCACTCACCCATCCTTACTGAGTTTTGGCCACTGCCTCCATCCACAGCTCGGAGCTCTTCTTCCCAGGGGCAATTTCTTGGAGGGGCTTCCAGGTTGCCTTCCCAGTCCCCTGCCTGGGCATCAGGAGTGGCTCCGTTGCCATGGTGGTGCTATATGGCATCTGCAGTTGTCCCTCCGTCCTGCAAGGCAGGGGTGTGTGCATGTGTCTGTCACCTTTTCTCTGGCCATCGCCCTCAGACTTTTGGACTGTCAAGTTTCTGAGCTGACCTTTTGAGGTCTAGTGTGGGAGCTCTGTATCCCCCTGCCAGGTCCTCAGCAGTTTCGTCCTCACGCCTGGGGATGGGGCTGCCCCTGCCCTCCTGAAATGTCTCTCACAGCTCATTCAGTGTGCTGAGGCTTGAGGTGGTCAGGTCGGGTCCTATCTGGAGGCCTGCCCTGGCCGGCCACTTCCACTTTTGCCCAGTAGCCTTCCTCCCCATCAGCTGGATTCCTGGTTGGCCTTGCTCATTGCTCACGCTGTGGGCTACCCTGGCCCTGACCCCATTTTGAGAGGGGTTGCTGCCACTTCGGAGGGCCTGGCTCATGTGCCCCTCCGTCCGTCCGTCCACAGGGGAGGACGAGAAGCTGGCATCGCTGCTGGAGGGGCGCTTCCCGCGGAGCACGTCTATGCAGGACTCTGGGCGCGAGGGCCGCGGCATCCCGCCCCCTCCTCAGACTGCGCCGCCACCTCCTCCTGCACCCTACTACTTGGACTCGGGGCCACCGCCCGCCTTCTCACCGCCGCCCCCACCCGGCCGCGCCTACGACACGGTGCGCTCCAGTTTCAAGCCAGGCCTGGAGGCGCGCCTGGGCGCGGGTGCCGCGGGCCTCTATGAGCCCGGTGCCCTCGGCCCACTGCCGTACCCTGAGCGGCAAAAGCGCGCACGCTCCATGATCATCTTGCAGGACTCCGCGCCTGAGACGAGCGATGTTCCCCGGCCCGCGCCCGCGGGCACGCCGCCTGAGCGCCCGAAGCGCCGGCCACGCCCGCCGGGCCCCGACAGCCCCTACGCCAATCTGGGCGCCTTCAGCGCCAGCCTCTTCGCACCATCCAAGCCGCAGCGCCGAAAGAGCCCGCTGGTGAAGCAACTGCAGGTGGAGGATGCGCAGGAGCGTGCAGCACTGGCTGTGGGCAGCCCAGGCCCGGTTGGGGGCAGCTTCGCAAGGGAGCCATCTCCGACGCACCGTGGGCCCCGGCCAGCTGGCCTTGATTACGGAGCTGGCGACGGTCTGGGAATGGCATTTGGGGGCCCAGGACCGGGCCCAGGCAAAGAGCGGCGTCTGGAGGAGCGGCGGCGTTCTACCGTGTTCCTGTCGGTGGGTGCCATCGAGGGCAGTCCTCCCAGTGCCGACCTACCCTCCCTGCAACCGTCCCGCTCCATCGATGAGCGCCTTCTGGGGGCTGGCGCCACTGCTGGCCGCGACCTACTACTCCCTTCCCCAGTCTCTGCTCTGAAGCCATTGGTCAGCGGCCCAAGCCTTGGGCCTTCCGGCTCCACGTTCATCCACCCACTCACTGGCAAGCCCTTGGACCCCAGCTCTCCGCTAGCCCTCGCGCTGGCTGCCCGAGAACGGGCTCTGGCCTCACAGGCGCCTTCACGGTCTCCCACGCCAGTCCACAGCCCTGATGCTGACCGTCCCGGACCCCTGTTTGTGGATGTGCAGGCCAGAGACTCAGAGCGAGGGCCCCTGGCCTCCCCAGCCTTCTCTCCACGGAGCCCCGCCTGGATTCCTGTGCCTGCCCGCAGGGAGGCAGAGATGGCCCCCCGGGAGGAGCGGAAGTCACCCGAGGACAAGAAGTCCATGATCCTCAGCGTCTTGGACACGTCCTTGCAGCGTCCAGCAGGTCTTATTGTTGTGCATGCCACCAGCAACGGGCAGGAGCCTAGCAGGCTCAGAGCTGAAGAGGAGCGCCCGGGTACCCCGGAGCTGGCCCCAGCCCCGATGCAGACAGCTGCTGTGTCAGAGCCCCTACCCAGCCCCCGTGCGCAGCCCCCTGGCAGTGCCCCAGGAGACCCTGGGCCAGGCCAGGGAAGCTCGGAGGAGGAGCCAGAGCTGGTGTTTGCTGTGAATTTGCCACCTGCGCAGCTGTCCTCCAGTGATGAAGAGACCAGGGAGGAGCTGGCCCGCATTGGGCTGGTACCTCCCCCAGAAGAGTTTGCCAATGGGATCCTGCTGGCCACCCCACTCCCCGGCCCGGGCCCCTCGCCCACCACGGTGCCCAGCCCGGCCTCAGGGAAGCCTAGCAGTGAACCACCCCCTGCCCCTGAGTCTGCCGCTGATTCTGGGGTTGAGGAGGCTGACACTCGAAGCTCCAGTGACCCTCATCTGGAGACCACAAGCACCATCTCCACAGTGTCCAGCATGTCCACTCTGAGCTCAGAGAGTGGGGAACTCACCGACACCCACACCTCCTTCGCTGACGGACACACTTTTCTACTCGAGAAGCCACCAGTGCCTCCCAAACCCAAGCTCAAGTCCCCGCTGGGGAAGGGGCCGGTGACCTTCAGGGACCCGCTGCTGAAGCAGTCCTCGGACAGTGAGCTCATGGCCCAGCAGCACCATGCCGCCTCTGCCGGGCTGGCCTCTGCCGCCGGGCCTGCCCGCCCTCGCTACCTCTTCCAGAGAAGGTCCAAGCTATGGGGGGACCCCGTGGAGAGCCGGGGGCTCCCTGGGCCTGAAGACGACAAACCAACTGTGATCAGTGAGCTCAGCTCCCGCTTGCAGCAGCTGAACAAGGACACACGCTCCTTGGGGGAGGAACCGGTTGGCGGCCTGGGTGGCCTACTGGACCCTGCCAAGAAGTCACCCATCGCAGCAGCTCGGTGAGCAGGATGATGTGGGGAGGGACCTGTCCCTGTCTTCTGTTCCTCTTTCCATCTGTGAGCTTCCTTCTGTTCCTTGTTCTGTCTCATTTCTCACCTCTGTCTGGTCTTACTTTGCTGTCTGAGAGAGAGGGCTCTTAAGACTGGAGTTCCTTAGGTCCCTGTTGGTGCTGGTGGTGGGACTGGCATTTAGAAGATCTGGGTGGTCCTTGAGCACTGTTGGAGGCGCTCCCGGAGTCCCCTGCTCCAGGGCTCCTGCTGGCTCTCCCTAGCTCCTGATCTAAGCTGCCTCTGTCATGAAGGATCTTTTCACTCTGTTCACTGCAGCAGCAGCTCCATCTCCTTGGTGCTCTGGCTTGTCCTTTGTCTGCCACCCCAGCCCTCTTTTGTCCTCTCTGGGATGGTGATGGCATGGCTGTCCTGTCTGTCCCAGGGATGCCTCCAGTCTTGCTTCATTTTGTGACTCAGTGCACTGGGTTTTTCTTTTGGGAATTTGCCATTTTCTGTTTTCTGCCTGAAAATACTTATCTCATAGCAACCTCTTCGAACCCCTTAAACACAGATTCCTGTGTCTGATGTGTGAAGTGTATGCACGAGACAGGTGGAAGCCAGGTGTGATGGCACATGCCTATAATCCCAGTTGCCGTGGAGCCTGAGGCAGGAAGACAGAAAGTTTGAAGGAACTCTGAGCAATTCAGCTCCACTCTTTCAAAATAGAAGGGCTAGAATGTTGCTCAGTAACAGAGCACTGGGCTGGCATGTACAAGGCTCTGGGTGCAATCCCCATTACTAGGGGAAAATAGGTTGAAGTCACTGTATGCCCTGTCACTTCTCTTGCTTCTGTTCCTCTGTCTGTCCTGCATCAACTCTGGGTACCTGAGGAAAGTGCTGGCATGGGGAGAGCTGACCAAGAGACTGGAAGTGGCTGAGGCTGTTGATACTCTGTCTGGGCAGAAGCTGCCAGAGCCCCTGGGCTGATCCTCTGGTCCTTCCTGGGGGAGCCCCTCTCCAAGGCTCCCCTGTGGGCAGCTGGATGCGGGCAGCAGCTGACTGTGCCTGGCTAGTCTCTGGTTTGCATTTCTCAAGCTGTTTTTGCCTCTGTTCAGAGGTTTTCCCATTCCAGTTTGGATGGGACACCACTTACTGATTATTCTTTGTTGTCCTGAAGAATACCTTAGTGGGCCCTTCATTGGCCCCTATGTCAGCAGAGTTCACAGAGGTGAGCAGTGCATAGTTTAAGGACCACATGTCTTAATAATGGCCTTCCCTTCTGTCTTCTTCCAGTTTAGGGTTCAAAAGCTGAATAGTGTGGGAGCTCCCAGTGCCTCTCCTAGGAGGTCCAGAAACTGCTCCAGCTTGTGTTACCATGAGGGCTTGCTCTGTACTTGGTTCTCTCTCAGCCTCTTTTGGCTCCCACTCCTTTGAAAGCTTCTTCCCAGCAGAGCAGTGTGGAAGATAACCTTTGAATAGGCACCGTAGGTGTGGACCAGCTAGGGTGAGAGGCCAGAGTCTCAGGCTTCTCCGTAGGACCAGCTTCCCAAGAAGGAGGGTCTCAGGACCATCCGCCACCAGCCTCTGTTCTCCCTCTCTGCTTCTCTCCCACCACCTCTTCTGTTACTTTTTGTGTCTTCATCTTGAAAGTCGAAGCCATTAAAGTGGCACAGTGCCTGGCTGTCAATAAACACTTGTCAAGTGAATGAAAAAGTAAAGCTAAACTCAAACACTCTTTTTCAACTTGAGATTCAAGGAGGTGGCTTGGGGCAAATTTCACATGACAGATATTTCGGCTCAGGTCTGTGGGTACTGAGTGCCCACAGTTGGGCTCAGGGGAGCCCAGTTCTTGTCACTGGCTCTGGCTCCCTTGAGCAGCTGGCTGTCTCCAGGTGATCCTCAGCTGGAACCTTCCATATACTCCTTCTCTAGACTCATCCTCCCGGTGACCTTTGGGATTCACCTTGACTGGGATAAAGTTCTCTTAGTCTGTGGCTCTGTGCTTTATCAGTACCCTGCAGGAAGGGCAAAACCAGAACTCTGACCCTTTCCTCTTCCTGTAGGTCAGTGAAAAATGAGCTGCTTTTGCTTGGTGGTTCCTGCACAATTTCAGCATCTTCTTGGCTTCCTGTGACCCTGATTTTCAGACTTGTCATTGGGGTCATTGGCCAGGTATGACCAGCCTATCTGGCAAATGGGAGCTTTGTGTGACAGAAGGTACTCTCCAGAGAAGCCAGGCTCTGGACAGTCTGAAACAGCTAATGTCCCTTCTGATAGTACCTTTGCCAACCTCAACAGCCTGCCTTTGCTTGATTTTAACCCTCAGCAGGTCATATCTCAGTTCTTTGATTAAGTCGCTGCTGTCCCTCCTTTGTGAAGTGGTAGTGCAGTGAACGGACCTCAACCTGGCAGAAGGGCCTGCTGTATTGCCAGCCATGCACGTGTGAGCTGACACGAGACACTCAGATACCAGGTTAAATTTGAGAGTCCTTTACGGAAAAGTAAGCCTGGAAATATGGCTCTGTCAACTATTCTGTTAGAGAAGCAAAAAATAATATAATCCCCATTTTCCAGGCAATAAACCTGAGGTTCCAGAGAGTCATTCTGTCCAGCAAGTGGTGGCATATCTAACCCTAGGCTTGTTTTCTGTCTACTATGGCCTGGAATCTATGTCTTTAAACCCTTTTTGATGACAGATGCTGGGTTTATGTTCAGCAGCGTCCTGCACCGAAGCAGCAGACATATTTGCTGTACTGCATAGACTCATCCATTTATCAAGCATGTGCATAAAATCTGCACTGCCCCCTGACTGCTAGGCTATACTGGGACACCCCCTCTGACCTATGTGTCCTCCCATATCTCTACTTCCTCTACTGTTTAGGCTTCTTGGCCTTAGACGTGGGTGAGCCCTAGCTCTCTGGAGTGGGCCCTACTATCCACAGCAGCTCCCTTTGTTTTGGGAGTGGTTGCAGCATGCCTGGGACCATATCTGTGTCTTATTTCTGAATGATCTTTTGTGGGGCCTCCCATATCTTGGTTGCCCACTGGCCTGTGTAGCAGTCCTTGATCTATAGCCAGTGGCGATTAGAATCAGGCACCTACTAGTCACTTCTCACTTTAGAGAAGCATCCATCCTTTCTCACCTTAGATAAATGTCCAAATGGTGGGAGGTTCTGACATCCAGGTGTGGCTGCTTCCTTCCCAGGTCTTCTCCTGACAGAGGCCTAGGTTGTCATACATGGACATCAGAGTCAAGCCCTGGAGCTACTCTGTATGGTCCCTTTGTTTTACCTCCAAGATCCATCACTCATCCCTTGGTGGTCACCCCAAGGACATAAATGTCACTGTATACCCACCTTCTGCATTAGTTCTAGCTCTGGTGTTCTTAAGCCACAGGTGTTCTGCAACCTAAGCTCTTTCTGGACAAATTAAGTTGCCTTCTGTATCATTAGACCTAGGCTCACTAACTTGTAGAAAAACAACCAGCTTATTTGCGCTAGGGCTGTCTTTTCTTTTTTGGTAGCAATTGAAGGATACAGCACCACTGACCAGGATCCAGGACTTTTGAGTGTCTGTCTTCCATCTTAGGTCATCTCCTTGTTCTCTGCCCCCAGCTGCAGGTCCAGTCCTAATCAGTATCTACTCAGGGCCCCATACTTGACTCTGAAGCTGAATTTGTGCTTTGATTTAACCTGACTCTCATTCCTCAAGTGGGTCCCTGCTAGTCTGTCTGGAAGCCCCCACCTGTCTGATTTCTGTTCATCTTCTAGGGCCACTGTTTAACTTGAATGCTACATGTGGTCCAAGGTCAGTAGCAATGTTGTTTTTGGCCTGGGCTATTGACTGTATACTTGTGAAAGAAATAAGTCATGGTGAAATAGCTTTGGAAACACAAAGTTAAAGAGATTCTTTGCTGCAGTACTTCTCAGCTCTTTTGATGGGCTTATATGGCAGAGGTCATGGTGTGCTGTGTTCAGACCTGTTTCGGTCATGACTTGGATCTCACAGGAAACCCATTCTCCTCAAGATTGCTGAGAAACCTTTCCTGGTTGCCTTCTCTAGGCCTTGGCTGTTAACTGGAAGGTCTGGATAAAGCCTCGTTCATGGGCAGTCAGAACCACAGGCACCTTGGGGTCAGTGGGGCACTGTGGCCTAAGTGCAGGTGTTTTTAGAACCCTGAACTCTGCTGAGGGAACAGGAAGAAGTCACGGGAGGAGACATGGGGTATTATGGCATATCAAAGCTGGAGCTGTGAGCAGGCCTAGCAAGGGAGGTATTCAGATAGCAGTAGCAGTGATGAGAAGCCATTAGATTTGTACTCCTGCTGGAGATTATGTCTGTTAATGCCCTTAATCATAAAAGCCACAGACCTAGCTAGATCTGCCCTGTGTGAGTACAAGGGCAGGAGTCTGGAACTAGAGCCATAGAACTGACTTCCTTGCCAGTCAGTATCATTTAGCCAACAGAAATGGGCAAACGGGGTGGTAGTGGTGGTGGTGGCTGCGGCAGCGGTGGTGCTGTATTATATGGTGATAATTTTTTCAGTGCATGTTGTATTCTTGGCTTTGTACTGAGTCCAGAAGTTAAGGAGAATTATGAAGATATGAGGTGAGGGACTATGGTATAGCTTAGTGTAGAGCTTATACTTGTATGAGGCCCTCATTTTGATCCCCAGTACGTTAAAAAAAAAAAAGTAAGGGAAAAGGACCTGAGATCACAAAAAGCCTAAACCCAGAGGGGAGGGCCTGGTGAGGTTAGGAGGTGGTGACTCATCTGCTCTAACCCTGAAAATGTGGAGGAGCTAACAGTGCTCTTGAGCTCCCCTGTGGGAAGATGGGGCACTGATCACCAAGGGACAGTTCAGAGACATGTTAGGAGGCTCTAGTAAAGGGCTTATGTTCAGGAGGGCACAGTCTGGGCTCCCTTGGGCATTCCTGGGCACATTAGCTGTAGAAAAGGGTGGGACAGATTATATGGCCCAGGAGAAAGCATTGCCTGTAAAGAGCAGAACTAAAAAATCCATCAAAGGGGCCAAGGGAAGAATGTCCCCAAGGGAAATTGATGAACAGGTCAGCAAAGGGGTCCTGCTGGCAGTCTTGGTGACTGCCTGGGAGAGGGAAAACCTAATGTCACTGGTTGGAGTAACAGGGGACAGTGAGACAGGACAAGGCCCAGATGTTGATGGAAAAGATGGGGACCATAGATGCTTCACAGAGTGAGTGTGACCTGTCCTTGGGAGGGGGCGCAGAGGCTGTCAGCAGCCTGGTGAAGTATTACAGCTTAGAGGGCAGGTAGCCCAGAGGTCTTTGGGAAGCAGCAGGTACTATGAGATGGACAGGGAGGCGGCCAGACAGCCAAGAATGGTGATGGGTAGAGATGGTATAGAGTTGGAGGGAAGTATACGGAAGTCAGATCTGGATACTGCTGGATTTCTGGCCTGGGGGCAGAGGGGGCGCAGTACAGTTCTGTAAGAGGAGTGTGAGGAACACATACACAGGCCCTGGTGGTTGACTCCTGCCTGTGTCCTTCCTGATTTGGAAGGTGTATCTATCCTTAGGTTTTTTTCCTAGGACTCCTGACACTCTTAACATGTGCCAGGTGGTAGGTTCTCTATTCCCCACCCCGAGGCTCCTTAGGGTCTCTCCCCTACCCCTAGAAACCTCAGTTCAGGCCTCCAGGATATCCCTGCTTGGCACTGGGTTCACTGCAGGCTCAGGCCAGCCCTGCCCATCTCAGACCTGCTGGACTCAGACCCTGCTGTGGGCCCTGGCCAGACTTCCCTACTGTAGGGCCCAGAAGCTGCTTGTACCCTCTGCCTTCACTGCTCAGCTTTAGTCTCAACCAGTCAGCAGTGTGCTTCTGTCTCACCCAAGACTGCAGGTATACCTGATGTCACAGCAGCATGGAAATATACCCTTTGAGGTGTGTCTTGGGCAGGCGTCTGACCTGTGATGCCTCTCCCTAGGCCAGGGTCAGTGTGTAAGTGTGGAGGTGGAAGTGTAGTCTAGCTCTGGTCTAGACCTCCATAGTCTGGCTCCATGGCCCCACAGGTGTGAGTCCTTTATAGTCTTAATACCCCCCAAGCACCCCCTTGAGAACTCTGTTACCACCTCACTGTGCCCCAAGGCACAGGGGTACCATAAGGCCAGGCTCCATGGGAACAGCGAGTTTCATCTGGTGTGTTTGTTTTTTATTGGTTTTTACCTATTCCCCATGCCCAGCTCTGGTATTGCTGGCACATTTGCTGGGAGCACTGTCTCCCTCTTTAGGAAGTTCTGCTTTAGTCTGAGCAGTTGGGAGGGGACAGCCAGTGGAGGCATGAAACCCAAGTGGAAGAGAGTGACTTCCTGAGAGGGGCTGCCTTTACATAGCTGGGAGGTGACGATCAACTGGTATGGAGCGGGCACTGATGATTCTGTACGTCTAGGACAGAGTAGAGGCTGACAGGGACCTTGGAGGAGGGATCCTTAGTCTGAGCAAGGGTGGCCATCAGTTGGACAAAGGCCAGCCAGACAGCAGAAAGGATATCAGGGTACTCTGAACTACTGCATGCTAGCTCTGCCCTGAGACCAAAGAGCTGGCAAGCTCCTGTGCAGGCATATCTTCCATATCCACCTGTTCTTAGAGCCCTGAGCAGCTGGACTGCTTCCTGAGTCCCTCCTTCCACAGGGTCCCTGGCAGGGTCCCTGCACCTGGCTGCCCGTTTTGTGGCTGTGACTGTGGGCCGTGTGGGTCTGGCCTGCTAACACTCTCTTTCATTGCTCTCTCCTGCCCATCTGCATGTGGCTGCTCTGTCTAGCTGCGCGGTGGTCCTGAGCGCCGGCTGTGTAAGTGAGCATGCCCATCCCATGCCTCTCGCAGTCCATATGCTGTGCCTGGCTGCCTGGGTCTGCTCTGCATGGCTGTGTGGGGTTTGGTTCCACTGACAGCCCATAGTAAGGGGTAGGATGGGAATGAGGGCTGTGGGTGTGATTTCCTCTGGAGCAGTCACTCCAGGTAGGCCTTGGGCATGGTCAGGCTGAGGTGGGCTGGAGGTCTTGGTTGTTGGCAGGTGTGCTGGGAAGTGAGGTACCATCTTCCTGTGTGTGTGCCCGTGTATCAGCGTGTGTGCTGTCTCCTTGCCACTGCTGCTGCATGCCTGCAACCCATGTGGGCACATTGCTGTTGCACATTATCTGTAGGGAGGCTGCCTTCACAGTGTGGTGCGCTGTGCTCACCCCTGCACGTGCTGTATCCCATGTGGGCATGCAAGCTGCCTCGTGTCTCTTGACACCACAGTACTGTTACATCTTGTGTAAGTGCTGGTTGTTCCCATGCCCAGCCTTCTTGGTGCCAGCCCCAGCCTCTGGGTCTTCTCCACAGCACAGAGCTGGGGTTGGCAGGGAGGGTATTGCTGAGTCTGACATCCAGGGAAGCAGTGGATGGGACCACACTTAGAGCCTCTGGGAACCACACAGCCAGCCCTTGGGCAGGGCTGCCTTTGCCCTGGTGGGCTGCTGTTGGCACCTCTGTGGAATGGCAGACCACCAGCCCTCCTCCTTACATTCCAGCCAGTGTAAAGGTCTCCAGAGCAGGGTACTACTGGCTTTGACCCAGAAGGCCAAAGGAAGGGGCCAGGGTGAACATAGGAGATCCCTCCCAGTCCGTCACCCCAGCCCCATCTTCCTAGCCCCTTGCCCTGCTCCCCGCTGCCACCCTGCTTTACTTGGCTCCCCTCACCTGGCCCTGATCCCTCTCCCTCCGCAGGCTCTTCAGCAGCCTCGGTGAGCTGAGCACCATCTCAGCGCAGCGCAGCCCTGGGGGCCCGGGCACCGGGGCCTCCTACTCGGTTCGGCCTGGTGGCCGCTACCCAGTGGCGCGACGCGCCCCGAGCCCAGTGAAGCCCGCCTCGCTGGAGCGGGTGGAGGGGCTGGGGGCGGGCACGGGGGGCGCGGGGCGGCCCTTCAGCCTTACGCCTCCCACCATCCTCAAGTCGTCCAGCCTCTCCATCCCGCACGAGCCCAAGGAGGTGCGCTTCGTGGTGCGCAGCGTGAGCGCGCGCAGCCGCTCGCCCTCGCCGTCGCCGCTGCCCTCACCCGCGGCCGGCCCCAGCCCCGGCGCCCCCGGCCCGCGCCGGCCCTTCCAGCAGAAGCCACTGCAGCTCTGGAGCAAGTTCGACGTGGGCGACTGGCTTGAGAGCATCCACCTGGGCGAGCACCGCGACCGCTTCGAGGACCACGAGATCGAAGGCGCACACCTGCCCGCGCTCACCAAGGACGACTTCGTGGAGCTGGGCGTCACACGCGTGGGCCACCGCATGAACATCGAGCGTGCGCTCAGGCAGCTGGATGGCAGCTGACGCCTCACCTTGCTCCCGCCCCGCTGCGCCCTGCGGGCAGGGCCCCCACCCCACCCGGGCCGCGGGCTCGGCCCGCCCCGAGACGACGGCCGGGCCAGGAATGTTGCATGAATAGTCCTGTTTGCTGTTGCTCGGAGACTTGCCCTGTACATTGCTTAGTGCCCTCCCCCACCGCCGAGCCCCACCCGCACAGTCAGGAGGGATCGGACCAGGGAGGCTGGGCGGAAGGGGCTTGGGGGGCTCTGGCCGGACCCCTCCTTCGCGGCTCCTGGTGGCCATCCTCCCCGGAGGAAACCTAGTCCAGCATGCGAGGTCAGGACACACCTTGGTGACTGGGGGGAGGGGGGAGACATTGGGGTTCTCGATGGGGTCCAAGTAGCCCCCTGTTTTGCATATTTTAATCCACTCTATATTTGGAACGAGAAAAGGAACAAATATCTCTGTCCGTAACAGTTCCCCACCCCCTCGCCCCCTCGCCCTCCCGCTGGTCCCACCGCAGCCGCCAGTCTTCCATCTCCGGCCCCTCACTGCCACCCCCCACGGGGCAGGGGACGCTCCAGCTGGTCTGGGGCTGGCCAGGGTCCTGGTGGCCCACCTGGGGCCCGGCTCGGCCTCTTCCCTCGCAGAGCTGCGGTGCGCCCCGCCCACCCTTCAGGTGCTGCTCGGGGAGGTGCACATGTCTCATCCTACTGGGCACCGGCGGGCCGGGGGCCTGGGAGGCCATCGCCCTGGGCTGGGGCTGGGCCCTGGCACTCACTCCTGGCCATCTTCCTCACAGGGTCTTTCCTCCGCTGGGGGCGCTCCAGCCTCCTCCCCATTTCTGGGGCAACTACAGCAGAGAAGCATCCCTGCCTCCGCCTGAAGGCACCTGTTCCCTCGCTGTGTGTGTGCAGCCTGGGTGCGGCGGAGTTCGTGGGAGCCCTGTGTGTGCCTGGTCGTGTGGGGCCCCGAGGGCTGTTCTGGACCTCGGGGGGCTATGGATGAGGGTGTGTGCATGGGTGTGCCTGTGAAGCGCCCTATCTCTTCCAAAGAAAGTGAGAGGCGTCCTGCCCTGGTCCTGCTGTTTGCCCCCCCTTCCCAGCTGGAGCGGGGTCCCTTGGGAGTCCCTGACGCTTGGGGAGGCCGCTGCAAGGTCCCCTGGAGGCGAAGCCCCCCCCCTTTGGGCTTTAGAGGGGATCTTGGGGGACTCTTAAAAAGAGTCAGGCCACCGCAGGCCCTGAGGAGAGTCAGAGACCCCGCTAAGGGTGCCCTGACCCCCCTACTGTGACTCCTCACACTCAGCAATGACCTGTGGGGTGGGGGGCCCTGGGACATTTTTAAACCAAGGGTTTGGAGTCTGGACTAAGCTCCATCCACGTCACTCACAAGTTTCTGTTTATATTTCTAGCTTTTTTTAATAAAAGAAAAAAAAAAAGAAAACAAGTTTTCACAGCCCAGGGGCCTGGCATGCCCGTCTGTGCCCACCCAGCCGCTGGCCCATTCCTTGGGCATAGTCATGCCCACTACCCCTCTCGCTAACAGACCAGGTCACACACAGCAGTCACTGTAACAGACTGCCGCATACACACTCAGTCTCACACTCACCTGTGGGTTTTTGGTTCTGTTCAATTTGGGTTTTTAACTTTACAGGGTCAGTTCTGCTTCACCCCTCCTTTTGTATGGAGTTCCATCTGGGGACTTTCACTCCCTGCTCCAGTCCTGAGGCCTCCTGACCCTGACGTTGTGATACACCCCACAGAGATCTATGTTTCTTATATTATTATTGATAATTATTATAATATTATTATGTAATAAATTTATAAGAAATGAAGGCCTGACTGAGTTGTCTCCTTAAAGGGTATGAAGAGCAGAGTCTGTGCTGTGTATTTCATACTGGTCACCCAAACTCAGCCTTGGCTGCGTTCTGCCGCAGCCAAGACTTCTGGGCTCCGGTGCCTGACTTGTTCCTCATCCACTGCACTGGGGCCCAGTCTCCCTGCACTGGTGCATCTGGTGTTCAGCTGCTCACGGAGTGGCATCCCCTCAGCTAGAAGTTGTCTGTGGTTGGTTGGTCTGTCTGTCCATTCATTTGTCTGTCCATCTCCCTCTCCTGTGTGTATTGCTGGGGTTCAAATCCAGGGGTGAACATGGCAGGCAGGTGCTCTGCCACTTCTAGGTGCTCCTCCATTTTTAAACCTATGGTTTAAAACTGTCTTACCAGTGTCCAGTTGTTTAAAAAGACCTACTGGTGTGTATTTCAGATCCTGTCTCTCACTGTCCTGTCTACAGCTGTTGATTGAGTTTGAGCCTCAGTCCACCACTCTGAGCTGATGTGAGCTGATGTGGTTCCTTCCCATAGTCCTGCCCTGTTCTCAGTAGTGTCATACTGTTTGCATGTGAGAGAGCCCTTGGGAGCCTTCTCACATGCCGCCTCATGCGCCCTCTGCACTCTGGCCTGCCTGCTGCCCTTATCCTTGCCACAACCTTGCAGTCCTGTCCCTGAGCCCATGACAGTGTTTCAAGGCTCTGACTGCTCATTTCCACTTCCTGCCTGGATTCCCCCCTTTCATCATGCTTATTGGCTAAGCTCCACGTCCCTTCTTTCAGGAAGCCTTCCCTGCCTTCTCTTCCCAGAGTCTGAGCTGGATGTTGGTCCTGGGCCCTCCCAGCCCTGGCACTCACATCAGAGGAAGCTGGAGCTTCTCACTTTGGGTGGTCCCCTAGAAGTCAAGAGCCGCTCAGGGATGTGAGATTTGCTTTTTCATGCTACCTGGAGCCAGGCCCCACAGACCTAGATGTTGTCCCTCAAGAATGCATAGATGATATGTGAGCAGCCCACTACGATGGCCCAAAATGTGGCAATAGAGGGTCCATGCAGCATCCTTGAGGCAGCTGTTCACAGGAGGGTGGAGGTACCTGGAAGGATGAGGACAGCTGATTGGATAGGCGGATTCATGCCCAATGAGAAGGCAGAAAATGAGCCAAGGGCCACAGGGTGAGGACACCAGGGAGGGGTTCTGGAGGAGCAGTGGCTGCAGAACTTTGTCACATGGACTGAGGGGCATCACGAGCATCACCGAGCAGGCGTCAGCCTGAGGCAGGCCTTGCTGGGTGTGGAGCCAGCAGAAGAAGCAGGAAGAGCCCAAGGGCCCAAGACTTCTGGCAGGGAGAAGTGCCCTGTGTGCCCATGGGGGACCAGGCGCCCCCCTAGCCCTGGCAGGGAGGGTCAGGGAAGACTAGAGGCCCAAGAAGGGTGGTAAAGGCACTTCTGAGGCTAGCCTGGCAACTTTCTATTTTGTCTAGAGACCCTATAGTTCTAAACGTTCAACATTTAAAATTTTAAATCTCATTTTCAGGTGAGAAATTATGCCCATCATACAGAAGGATCACACAGGAAGTCCAGGAAAGAGACCCGGGGAAGGTCTGGGTGCTAAGCTGCAGGGGCAATCCTCGGTCTCCTCAATGGATTCAGAACATGGAGTAGTACAGCTTTTCCATGAGGAAAGAAAGGCTGGCTCCCCTCTGTCCAAGGGTGGAAACCCTGGTTTCCATGGTAACACCCAGGGGATCTGGGTGGCTTGAGGGAGAAGATGAAACACTGTTCAGGCCAAAAGCCTCAGGACCTTCAAGGCCTCAACTAGAGAAACCTAGCAGGCAGGTAGGAAGAGGCTGAGAGCCTGCTCCAAGGGCCTGGGGGGCAGTCACTCTCTCACTCAGGACCTCAAGACACTGCAGCACTGCCCGCAGTGGCCCTTTGGGACTCACCAGCATCTCTGGACAGTGTGGCCCCGGTGCCTCCTGTGTCACTAGCATTGCCAAGATCCTGCGGCACTCCAGGTGAACTTGGATGCCAAGGATGGATGGACAGGGTTTTTAGAAGTTCTCCCTGGACAGCAAAGGATGGGGGCTGGAAGGAATTGGAAATCGTGTTGGCAGGTTGGGGAGATGGCTTGGCAGGTTACATGCCTGCCTGGAAAGTACAAGGACCAGGTTCAATCCCCTGTCCAGCATGCCATGCCAGCCCTGAGCCAAACTGGCCACCAAGACAGGGTGTGGTGGTGCACACCCATAATCCTATTGCTGGGGAGGCTAAGACAGGAGGATCACTATGAGTCCAAGCTATTTAGCAAGACCTTCTACCAAATAAATAAATAAATAGACAATTTAAAAAAAAAAAAAAAAGGAAATCCTGTTGAAACTATGCAGTGAGAGAGAACTGCTCAGGTGAGTGGTATGGGGGAGGGAGGCGGTATCTGGAGAAACTGCATGGGGCCGTGAGGGGGAAAGAGTGGAGCTCAGGCCTAGGATGGGAGCTCTGCCTCAGCCTGAGCCAAGTGCCGGGTGGCCTTGGGGACTCTGGCCTTTGGCGCCAGAACCTAGTAAAACCTCTTGGCTGGCAGATAGGAAAGTAACACAAGTCCATATTCAGGAAAGGGGAAGACTTGGGCAGACAGTTAAATCATCCTGGCACATGTAGGGGAAGCAGACCTTGTCACTACATGTAAGCAAAGGTGAAACACCCTTGTCCTGTAATAGGAGACACCAGTAGACTTGGGGGAAGAGCAGATATTAGAGAGTGTTCAGTGGAGAAAGTGATAGTACTCAAGGTTGAGGCATATGAGATTAGACCTCTGACTCTGCTCAGCCTCATAGTGATCCTCCTGGAGAAAATGAGATGTCCTGCCAGTTGGGCAGAAAGGATGGAGTGCCTGGCAGTGAGGTAGAGAAGGTAAGACTTTGTAACATCCTCATAGGGGAAGTGAGATACAGTACACTTAGGCTTCTGTAGGGGAGATGACTCCCCTACCCCTTTTAGAAGATACAGGGACTCCAGACATGAGCTGAAGAAGCAAGGCCTTGTGCCAGACAGAGACAAGATCTGCCTATGCTCAATGCAGACTAGGAGCCATGATTCTCAGGCTGGCAACTAAGACCTCCTTGTACCCAGATAGAAGATATGGTATTTCAGGACCATCAGGTAGGGGAGACAAGACCTTGAGACACACAGGAGTTGAGAAAACTTTAGACACTCACAGTACACGAAACTTTGGAGCAGCCTGGGAGAGGAGGTAAACTCTCCTGACTTTCAGGTAGGAGGGTGAGATTATATTTGGGTGGAGGAGAGCAGGCTTCCAAATGAGAGCACAAACACCACTGGCAGTTGAGACTTCAAAACACGTATCTAGATGAGGTGCAACTTTTCTGCACTCATTAAAGGATGCAAGACCTTCTACTCTTAGGCGGAAAAGATGCAATGAGGGAACACTCAAGTGCTGAGAATGTAACGTCTTGGCCTGTGGGTGGTACAGATGAGGCCTTGGCCCTGTGGTGTATAGAGATGTTTTCACACCCAGGAAGAGCCAGTGATAACTCCCTGATGCTCAGGTAAGACATTTGAGATCTACTAGACATTAAATGAGGGGTCTGTGACCTGGATGTGAGATGAAGTGTATGAAATTTAGTAAGAGAAACTCAGGCAGAGAAATCAAGATTGTCCCATCATCTGAAAGCTCAACACTCAGGGAGGGCAGATGAAATGTCCTGACTGGCAGGAGAGATGGCATCTGTGATACTCCCAGGGAAGATGCAGCATTTTGAGCTTCTGATAGGCTGGTGGAAACAACAGGTGCCAAACCTATCAGTGAACTAATTTAGTAATCACACACCCTAATGCCAGCATCACACACTCAAGATCCAGCCACCTCTGAAAAAGCCTCACCTATTATTGCATGATGCTTTGGGGGGACATCTAGACACAAGCCACAACTACATGTATCATCATGCTCTTGCAGGCAAGATGCTATCTCTGATAATCATATAGGAATATGCAAGTAGCTCTAATGAAAAGACATTAACGCACAGGAGAAAGCACCTTGCTGCCCGTAGGTCCCAGAGAAGAGAGTTACCAGTTGATGAATTCCGAGGAAATTCCTTCCAGGTTCTTGGTGTCCTGAATAAAAGATTGGCCTCGACACACTGCACAGGTAGTGGAGATGTACATCTATTAAAGGTGGAGAGCAAGTACACTTTGCAGTGTGTGAACAGGCTGGTGAACAGGTTCACAGTGGCCACAAGGACAGTGGAGGGGAGTCTTTTGGTATCTGGAGCTCTTAGGACTGGCTTCTCCCTCCTGCAAATAAGACATCTGGGACAGCTGAACTATAAAAACCCTCACTTGGTCTGGGACCATATTTAAACCATCCTATCAGAGACTTGCTTGGTTTTGCATCAGGTATAAATGAAGAATCAAAAATAATACTTTTCGGGTTAGCTTCAAGTACAGTGTTCAGGACCTGCAGAATCATCTTGGATTCTGCACTGTCAGGTGCTCTGGATCTCAGGACTTTAACAAGTCATGTCCAGCTGTTTGGCTGGGTTTCCCCTCTCCTGCCACAAGGCCTGGAAATATTTCAAGAAGGAAATAGGAGACTGTGTGTGTGTGTGTGTGTGTGTGTGTGTGTGTGTGTGTGTGTGTGCATGTGCGCGCTTTACTTTATTTTTTATTTTTATTCATACATGTTTGAGGTAGATAATGATCATGTTCATCGTGGGAGATTTGTACACTTACACAACAAGACTTTTTCTTTGTCCGCTTCCCTCTCCTCCCTGCAACCATTCTTCCCCTCCTTATTTTCAAAAGCTGTTTCCACTTTTCCTTCAATTCTTTTTTTCCCTTTAAATCCCTTTTCCTTCTTCTCCTCTCCCCTCATCTCTGCTTCCCTTCCTATTTGAAAAAGCTCTTCCTATTGCTTATTATCTATCCCCCATTTTGCCTTTATTTATACTTTGGGTTTCCCATGTAAGACAAACAATGTGATATTTAAACTTATGTATATGGGGAAAGCAAGATAGCTCAGCAGACTAAGTGCCTGCTTAGGCAAGTGCAGGGGCCTGAGTTCGATCCCCACCACTAGCTGAGTGGGCCCTGCCCTTGGGCACACTGAGCTGGCCAAAGAGATCAGGTGTGGCGTCACACACCTGTAATCCCCGTGTTAGGGAGGCTGTAACAGGAAGATCACTATGAGTCCAAGCTGCATAGTGAGACCCTGTACCAACTGCATTAAAAAAAAAAAAAAAGACTTATGTATCTGATTTATTTCACATAAGATTATGGTCTTGGTAAACATCCATTTACCTAAAAATGTCTGATGTTTATCCTCCTTATGGCAGAGTGATACTCCGTTATATTTAAATATCACATTTTCTTTATCCAGTTGATGGGCATATGAACCATTTCCAAGATATAGCTGTTATAAATTGTGCTGCTATAAACATGGATATGCATCATTGTGGTATGATGACTTTAACGCTGAGAAAATAGACATAGAAAGGGAAGAGCTGGGTCCAACTGACCCTCTAGTCTTAGTTTTTGGAGGAATCTCTATACTGTTTTCCATAGTGGTTATACTAATTTATACTCCCATCAACAATAGAGAAGTACTCTTTTTTCTCAAAGCATTTTTTTTTTTTTTTTTTTTTTGGCAGAACCAGGGATTGAACTCAGGCCCTTGCGCTTGCCAGGGAAGCGCTTATTCCACTGAGCCATCTCCCTGGCCCCTCTCAAAGCATTTTTTTGTGTGTGTAGTACCAGGGATTGAACTCAAGACCTTGTGCTTGCCAGGCAGGCACTTACGTGGCTGAGCTATCTTCCCAAAGCATTATCAGCATTTCTTATAGGTTGATTTTTTGATGATTGCCATTCATTGTGGCATGAGATGGAATCTTAATGGTGCTTTAGATTTGCATTTCTTGAATGGCCAGAGATGTTGACTGTTTGAACTTTACCTGAGAAGTATCTATTAATGAAATAGAAGACTGTGATTCCCAGCAATGGACAGGGAGGATGGCTTTGGGTCACAAATTAAGGAAATTCAAAATGTCCCTTTGAAAACTGTGCTGACAGTATACCTGTGGAAGACTCTTAAGTTTCCTCTACCCAGTATTAAGGACCACTGATTTGTTGAATAGGACTGCTTTTTTTTTTTCTTTTTTTTTTTTGCGGAACCGGGGATTGAACTCAGGTCCTTGCGCTTGCCAGGCAAGTACTTACTCCACTGAACTATCTCCCCAGCTCCAAAGGCAGACCTATGATTTCACACTGTAGAGCTTAATGCGTAAACCGCTACGCTATCTCTCCAGCTGGGACTGCTTTTAACTATGGATGCATTGTATCGTGTCATCACACAGGACCAAACTGCTTCTCATTTCCTGAATCTGCTGTGGTTATTGTTCAAAAAGGGGCAGACCCTGAATCTTCACAGAGTGGCTCCTTGGAAGAAAAATTGTCACTGAAGACCTTGGCCTTGTGACAGAGGGCATGGAGCCATAAATGGGGGTGCTGGAAGTAAGGAAGTCACCTTGCAGGAATCAGTTAAACCTAGGAGCCTGTCTGGCTTGTCTGAGAGTAATGGTGGGGGTGGGGGTGGGGTGGACATGCTGATTGGCCAGGAAGCCACAGAGCTCTGTGAGGTCACAGCGCGCGAGCCTGGCTGGAGCAAGAGTATGGTGGAGATGCTGCCAACTGCCGTTCTGCTGGTATTGGCTGTGTCTGTGATTGCCAAAGATAACGCCACTTGTGAGTAAGTGTCAGGGGAACCTGGTGGGGAGAGCTTCTTCTGTACAGCAGGTCCCACCCAGTCTCCCTCCATCCAGGGGTATGGCAGCCCTAGGGCTGAGCCTTAGCAGTCCCTGACCCACAGACCTAACACTTACCCTTCTTGCTCTCAGCGCCATCAGCCCAGGGCTTGGGAGTTCCCAGTGGTCTACAGTTTGCCCTGAGAGGGACTCGTTAGCTCCCAGATCTGTGCCCCCACTGGCCTGGTGACCAGCTCCACCACTTCTCAGACATTGAATTCAGAGTTTTGGGACCCCTGCCCTCCTGTGGGCAGCTGAAGTGTCCCACACTGGCCTGACTCCAAAGGCCTAGAGCACCTACACTCACCTGTAGGCCTTCTCATCACCCAGAGGCCCCATATGGCAGCAAGCCACAAACTACAGTGCTCTGCTTGTGATACAGGGCTCAGGGCTCACACCTCTGGATGCTCCTGTTCCTAGTGTGCCCCATGCCTATGGGCCGCTATACTGCTTGTAGCTGTGCTCTCCTTCTGTCACACTTAACCCAGATCTGCCGCCCAAGACCCCTTCAGCACCTGCCTTTCTCTGGCCAGGCTCTCTTAGCCAAGATTGTCTCTGAAGACCCCAGGTTATTATATCTCTTTACTTCCAGTTCCTCTATCCCAGTTTTAGCTTGCTGCTCTGCCCAAGGCCCTGCTCCTGCCAGTGCTTACACAACTGCTTCTTGCATCGCCTCCTAATTGATTATTTCCCGGAGCCCCAGGCTGCTGCGAGCCAACTCCTATCTCTTTCTCAACCTAATGTTCTTGCTTCCCTTATTCATGGAGATGAGTGAACTGTTGCCTGGTTTCTCCTCAGTGGTCCCTGTGGGTTGCGGTTCAGGCAGAGCCTACAAGGGAACATCCGGCTTGTTGGAGGGCAGACAGCACAGCTCGGGGCCTGGCCCTGGATGGTCAGCCTCCAAATCTTCATGGCCCACAACAACCGCAGGTACCACGCATGTGGTGGCATCCTGCTGAATTCCCACTGGGTGCTCACAGCTGCTCACTGCTTCGACAGCAAAAAGTATGTGTGGGTACATGCAGATGGGGGTCCCTAGTGCTTCTGTCCAGCCAGTCTATGAGAATGACTTTTGTGCCCACAGAAAAGTCTATGACTGGAGACTGGTTTTTGGAGCACAGGAAATTGAATATGGGAACAATAAGCCAGTGCGAGCACCTCTGCAGGAGCGATATGTGGAGAAAATCGTCATCCATGAGAAGTACAACATTGTGAATGAAGGGAACGACATTGCTCTCTTGAAGATCACCCCTCCTGTTTCATGTGGGCAGTTCATTGGGCCAGGCTGCCTGCCCACTTTTAAGGCAGGCCCTCCCAAAATTCCCCAGACCTGCTACGTGGCTGGCTGGGGGTATATCAGAGAGAATGGTGAGTATGGGAGGTACTCCGAGCAGGGCACTGCTGGTCACTGAAGAGGGAAGATTCCCGAGGGCGGGTCCTGAGGATCACACACTGACAAGTAACTTCTGTCTAGCTAGTCTGGGAGAATGATCTTTGTGCTGACAGAAAAGTCAGACTGGAATTTGGCTTTTGTAGCACAGCAAATTGCATAGAGAAATAATAAGCCAGTGTGGTTCATGGGTGATGACTGGCTGGGCAGTTGTCAGCCCTTACGGTACCACAGATACAGTCCAGCATGCTCCCTTGTATACCTGGAGAGACAAGAGAAGCTGAGTCCCTGGCCCAAGGCCACATGATTTGTGTTGGTGAATTGGTGGCTTTCTAAGGGAAGGCTGAACAGAGGTACAAGTAGAACCTTGGCATTTTTCAGAATGAGGTCAAGGCTGTGTCTGTACCTGGCACCTGAAGCCTTAATGTCTAGATTCTGCAAATTGGAAACATACCCTGAAAAGCATTTGAAGAAATAGATTAATGTGTTTTTGTGGCAGTGGGCTAGTTTTTCTAAATGGGAGGGTCAGATCAGATGTCTTCTGAGAGGTACTGAATGTCCTGGCCTTTGAGAGTACAGGGCTTTCTTTATCCAGCAGGTTCCTGGGCTCCATCCTTGAGCAGTCAGAGCACCAAAATCTGTCCTTACTCATCGGAGTTACTTGGAATCTTCTGTGTAGACTGGGAGGGAAGCAGGGGGTGGGTATGGTTTTTTGCAGTTCATAGTTATTCCAGTATTTCAGGCCCCTCAGAGCTGTTTAGCAGGACCCTTCCCTTCAAGATGAGAACTAATGTGTCTCTGCATCTCTGTTCTTGACAAAGCTGCCTGCCCAGATGTCTCACCCACTATGTGGCTCACCTGGCACCAGCTGGGTAGGGAATAGGGGAACCTTCGACAGCAGCACAATTTATGGAGGGCCCAGGGAGCACTTAACAGTCACAGCTGACGCCATGGTTGTGGTCTCAGTCCCAGACACCTCTCCACACATACTTGAGCCTAGAGGCACAGTTTATCCTAGAGGCAACAGATTGTTCCCTTAGGTGGCAGAAACAAGTCGCAATGTTTTATGAGTTAGAACTGGGGTCTCTGCACGTTACTGATGTTCTCAGCTTTCCTGAGGTGGTTGTATGCATTTTCATCCAGTCACGGTAGGGATATGAAAATGGGACTGCAATTAATGTTATCTTTACCTTCTCTTTTTTTGATAACAAAAAAATTAGGCTTCCTATTTCAAGGCAATTTAGTCATTTGAGATTTAAAATTCAGCCTTTTTTATAATACAAAATTAATAATTTGGGATTATTCCCTTTACTCATATTCCCTCTTCCTAGTGAGGTTTATCTAGCTCTCAAGAAGTCTGTCAGTGTCTTAGCCCTCTAGGAAGGTGGTCTTGTCTCAGCTCCCCTCGCTCTCCCTGGCCTTTACGGCTCCATGGCGATGCTTACCGGCCTGCGGTTCCTCCCTCCATCCCAGCTGCTGATGCCTGTGGCTCTGCATGGCATCCAGAGTGAGGACAGCATTATTCTTGTCCCACCTCCTGTTTACCCTCTGACAGTGTTCACAGCTCAGAGCTTCATGTTGTTCTTGAGGCTGATCTCAGGGTCCTCACTCCACGCCCTCTTTTTACTGCTATGTTGCTCAGGAGGATTGTAGGTTTCCAGCTCAATTTTGGATGTCAAAGAAGATTTTTTGTTCTGGAGTCCCCATGGAAATGTAGTGAGCAATCTCTCATCCTTTTATTTTTTTTTAAATCTTGTTTTGTTTTTGGAAACATACTCCCTACCCCTAAGTCCCAGTTTCTGAGAAAGCTGCCAGCTCCAAACTGTGACTTACTCTTTCCTTTCCTTTTCTTTTCTTTTCTTTTTTCTTTCTTTCTTTCTTTCTTTCTTTCTTTCTTTCTTTCTTTTTTTTTTTTTTTTTTTTGTGGCACTGGGGATCAAACTCAGGACCTTGAGCTTGCCAGACAGGCACTTATGCTGCTGAGCTATCTCCTTGGTCCCACTTTTCTTGTTTTTCCTCCTCCTTGAATTCATCTTCTCTGAGGCTGGAAGAGCTGCCCCAGAATACCACTTCTTTCCCTTGAATTTTGAATTCTTGTAGGCTTTTTGTGCCTATAATTTAAGGCCAATGTCCAGGATTAAGAAAACCATCTTCTGCTTCAGTACACCTGGTTCTTTACAGTGAGGCCCATAGCTTTTATGCCTATGGGTCCTGCCATAGATTTAAAAAGTCATTTTAATGATGAACAATAATAATGATCACAATTCTTGTCATTGTTATTTCAGTGTCACTACTTCCCCAAAGGCAGGTCACACACGAAACTCCCATATTCCTGGCACTGGAAAAAAGCCTGGAAAACATGCATTCAGCATCCATCTACCAAGGGCCTGCTGAGCACTCAGCACAGCACCCTGAGACTTAGCACTGCACACTGGGCTCTCAGCACTGCACCCTGGGCACTCAGCACTGCACCCTGAGCACTCAGCACTGCACCCTGGGCACTCAGCACTGCACCCTGGGCACTCAGCACTGCACCCTGAGCACTCTGCACTGTACCCTGGGCACTCAGCACAGCACCCTGAGCACTCTGCACTGTACCCTGGGCACTCAGCACTGCACCCTGAGCACTCTGCACTGCACCCTGAGCACTCAGCACTGCACCCTGAGACTTAGCACTGCACACTGGGCTCTCAGCACTGCACCCTGGGCACTCAGCACTGCACCCTGAGCACTCTGCACTGTACCCTGGGCACTCAGCACAGCACCCTGAGACTTAGCACTGCACACTGGGCTCTCAGCACTGCACCCTGAGCACTCTGCACTGCACCCTGAGCACTCTGCACTGCACCCTGAGCACTCTGCACTGCACCCTGGGCACTCAGCACTGCACCCTGAGACTCAGCACTGCACCCTGAGACTTAGCACTGCACACTGGGCACTCAGCACTGCACTGTGAGCACTCAGCACTGCACCCTGAGCACTCTGCACTGCACATTGAGCACTCTTCACTGCACCCTGAGCACTCGGCACTGCACCCTGAGACTTAGCACTGCACACTGGGCACTCAGCACTGCACATGTGGCTCTTTGCATCTTCTTGTTTAATATTAGGCCTGCATGGGTGTGCTCTAGGTCTGCCTGCACTGAGCTGTTTCCACCCATGCTACAGACATCCAGACCCACCTGTCAGGCTTCCGGTGCTGTGTGGGAAGGGACCAGTGCATCTGCTGCCACTGGGATCCTGCTCCTGCACTTGGCAGAAGAGGCACAGCTACACTGCTTCTCGGGCTGTGTTTGAGCCAGATGCAAAAAGCATCAGTAGTGAGCTGTAGCATAGCTGGCCTTTCCCACCCCCAGGTCATGAAGGAATCTGGGACTGTGAAGAAGGCCCTGACTCAGCTCTCTCTTTCCTGAAACCTCCTTAGAGCAGGTTTGAAGCATTTGGGGAAAGGCTAACTAGACCTGCTTCAAAAGATACTGTCTACACCTAGGGAAGAGTCCTCATGAAGGACAAAAAGCAGGGAGGGTGATTTTCTTGCCAGATTGTGGGGAATGGAAGATGTGGCTCAGATTTGGCTCTAAAAAGAAGTGATCCTGGCCAAGTCTCAGCCCCCAACGTCCCCACTGTGGCTGGACTGTGCTCCAGCCCCAGATCCAAAGTGAAAACAAAAGAACCATGTAGATCAAATGAATGTTGTGACCTCTGTCAGCCTTGTCTACCCTGAGGACATATGCTGGTGACAGCCTCTACCTGCTCCCCATCTCCTCTTAGTGTGCAGGAGAGTATGAGGACAGGTCGGGTGCTGGCTGAGAGATCTGGGTTTAATCAGAGTGTTAGAGAATGGGGTTTGGTGGAGGGAAGAGGTGAGGCCCCCTCTGTCCTCCTCAGTCACTGACCACTGTGCGGCTGGCTGCAGCCCCCAGGCCGTCGCCTGTGCTGCTGGAGGCCCGCGTGGAGCTTATCGACCTCGACCTGTGTAACTCGACCCAGTGGTACAATGGGCGGGTCATGTCAACCAACGTGTGTGCGGGGTACCCAGAAGGCAAGATCGACACCTGCCAGGTAACCCTCCTGGGGCCAGACCCCTGGTCCCGTAGGCCTCCCCAGATCCTGAGAACACTTCTTTTTTGGACCACTAGCTCCACTTTCTGCCAAGGGCTCTGTTCTAGTGATTCTTCTGTCTCTTCTCCCAGCATCATATATAGCCACAGTGAGGACTGGAGATGACACCCACCAGCTGCCCAGACAGAGCTCTATCACCACAGTTAGCACTTGAGAACTTAGCACAAAGAATACATTGCCTGAACTGTCCCTGGAGAGAATGTCTGCGTCCTTTCCCCAGGACAGAAAGCATGCAGAGCCACACATGTTCCTGCATTCAGTAAAGCCCCATGCATGCACTACGGCCCACTCACCTCCCCCCCATGGGAAACCCACTCCAGCCACACCCTCTCACTGCTCCCTGGAGGCTGTGGCACCAGCTCAAACTTCACAACCAGCTGTGTTTCTGGCATCAGGAAACCACTCGGCTGTAGCAAGTGTCCTCCTAGAGCCCATGACCCCCACACAGGGAGAGTGGCTCAGGGTGAGTGACCACTGTGTCCTTTGGGCAGGGAGACAGCGGCGGGCCTCTCATGTGCAGAGACAACACGAACAGCCCCTTCGTGGTTGTTGGGATCACGAGCTGGGGCGTAGGCTGTGCCCGTGCTAAGCGCCCTGGAATCTACACAGCAACTTGGGACTATCTGGACTGGATTGCTTCCAAGATCGGTCCCAGTGCTCTGCATGCAATTCAGCCAGCTACTCCTCCTCCCCCCACCACTCGGCCCCTGCCCCCAGCCCTGCCCCCCTCCTCCCGCCCTCCTGCTGCTAAACCTCCTTGGTATTTCCAAAACCTTGGTCGCCCCCCTCGCCCACTTCAACCTTTTGCACCTCAATCCCGACCACCTGCAGCCCAGGCCCCACGCCCGCCCTCATTCTCCCCATCTCCTCCACCCCCGCCCCCACCTCCCCTCCCACCCTCATCTCCCACCAGACCGACCCAAGGACTTTCTTTTGCTCAGAGCCTCCAGCAGCTCATAGAGGCTCTGAGGGGGATGGGCAATCCAGGCCTCAGAAACTCTTACATGGCATGGAGACCCCTGAACTCCCAGAACTCATCTCCTCCTCCCGATCTGAAACTGTTCTCAACAGACCAGTGAACAGTTAATCTGAAATAATAAATGTATATATTTATAAATATATATATATATATATACATGAGGAAATGTTTTCTGGCCTTCTTTCTGTCTGCCCACCTACACACAACCCAAGCCTGCCTCCATCACTTCCATCCTCTCTAACGGGACTGGATATATGAATGGTTTTGAGTTTTTCAAACCTTACTTTTTAAAACTGGAGTAAGGTGATGTAGGACCATAGGCTTGGCATGGTCTGTGTTTCACACTTAGTGAAACTGACAGAGGTTAGCAATGAGGGACTGGATCTGCATAAGTGAATAAGAGGAGAGGCCAGGTGGCATGCCCAGGAAAGAGAGGGTGAGAGTCAGAGTCTTCTAGGAGCTCCTGTTCTCCACATGCCAGGGAAAGACACCCACTCGGAGGCTGCTGTGTGGAAGGTTGCATTCCCCAGAACACGATGGTCACAAAGCTACTGAGCAGCCAGAACGAACCTCTGTGTCAGTCAGATGTAGGTGGCTGGCTGATTGAATGTTGCCCATCCAAGTTCCTTACTGGCCTGTGACTAACTTTATTTCTGGACTCAGGTGAATTTAAACATTATTTGCTAAAGCTTTGCAGCAGTGTGAATGTGTGTATACCTTTTGGAGTGGCTTAAATAAGATCTTATTTAAGATCTTCTCTCCCAAGGAACAGAAACAACTTAAGTGCTAAGGATATAAAGATGTTATGCAGAAACCATGGAAAAGGCCAGCAGCAGACAGGAATGATGAGGGGCTTGGGGAGGCGTGACCACACAGTCCAAATGAAGTTTTTGCAGAGAGCCTGAGGTGCTGTTTGGCAGCTCTGCCCCATGCTGCCCCGGCGGGACCAGGGCCAACCTGCAGTGCTTGCAGCTGCCTGAGAGGTCCTGTAAGAGAAACCCTAAGGGGCTCCGGCAATGGGCCACTCTTGCTCATCAGGCTCTGATGAGCAGCGCGAGGGACCAGTCATCTGCTTAGCAGCCATGAGCCGCCGCGCTCGAGATTCCCGTCTGCTTGGGTTCAGACAGAGGCCTGCTCTACCTTTCGTCAGTTCTGTGTCCTTGGGAAGATGTGAGCAAAGTCTGTGTGACCATGAAATGAGGAGTAGGACACAGTTAGAGCGGGGTTTGACAGACTGTAAACATTTGTGTGTGTGTCATGTGAGAGCCCATTAGTGAGGAGCTGCTGGTGAACAAGCCAGACTTGTCACAGGGACCATCGGGAGTCACTAATCTTCCCACTAATGGTCTGAAATGCTTGGTTTGGCCACATGGGAAAGTCTGATGTGGGTATGAATGTCCCTTCTGTAGCACAGCAACATTCCATAAAAACCAATTTCTTTCTGTCTTGGCTAAAAAGCTGGATTACTAAAATTGAAGTTGGCAGTTTATTTTGTTGGCTTTTGGGGCTGTCTCCTAAACAGTTTTCTCTCCTCCCCTCCGCTCTCCTCTCCTCTCCTCTCCTCTCCTCTCCTCTCCTCTCCTCTCCTCTC